CAACAAATAAAATATTAAATATGGGCCGGCGCCATGGCTCACTAGGTTAATCCTCCGCCTGTGGCACCAGCAACCCGGGTTCTAGTCCCAGTTGCTGCTCTTCCAGTCCAGCTCTCTGCTGTGGCCCGGGAGGGCACTGGAGGATGGCCCTTGGGCCCTGCACCCGCATTGAGAGCCCCTGGCTCCTGGCTTTGGATTGGTGCAGTGTGCCTGCTGTAGCAGCCATTTGGTGGGTAAACTAACAGAAGGAAGACCTTTCTCTCTCTTTCTCTCACTGTCTAAATCTGCCTGTCAAAAAAAAAAAAAAAATTGGTTGCTGCTTAGCTTCTAAAAAATATATATATATTAAATATGTAAACAAGCCTTTTGACCTGAAGATGGAAGCATTTTATTTTCCAAATAATTAATTTTCTGATTGTTTGTTCTCTATAATACTATCAGGAGAAAACTTGCCCTAAATCCTAACTTGTGTCAGATAAATTCAGTGACTGTTTCTTTAATCACTATTTTAAAACTTTTTTTTGAAAAATTTATTTATTGAAAGAGTTACAGAGAGAAGGAGAGACAGAAATCTTCCATCCACTGGTTTACTCCCCAGATGTCTACAACAGCTGGGATTGGGCCAGGCCAAAGCCAGGAGCTTCATCCAGGTCTCCCAGTGGGTTGGGCCATCTTCCACTACTTTACCCAGGCCATTAGCAGAGAGCTGAATTGGAAGTGGAGTAATAGGAACTCAAACCGGCACCCATATGGGATGTTGGTGTCATAGGAAGTGGATTTACCCACTAAGCTACAATGCCAGCCTCATTTAAAAAACTTTTTAGAAAATTCCAGGCTGTTCCTTTAATTCCAGTGTGTTTTTTGAACATCTAATAGGTAAAGCTTTTTAATTTTTATTTTTGTTTGAGAAGCAGAGTTACAGAACTTTGATCTACTGGTCTCCCCAAACGCTGAGTTCCTGGGAACTCAATCCAAGTCTCCCACATGGGTGGCAGGTACCCATCTACTTGTACCATTATCTGGTGCCTACCAGAGTACATGTTAGAAGGAAGCTGGAATTGGGAGCAGAATTGGGACTCAGAACTCAGGCACTCCAATGTGGGTGCCAGTTTCCTAACTGATGTCTTAACTGCTAAGCCAAACACTGCACCCTGTTAGATAACATTTTATGTTCTGAAAAAAATAGTCCTGTAGGTTTATACTGCTTAGATAATACTCAATTATTTCTCCTATAACAGAGACCATGTCTTCTAGTTTTCAGAAAAATGCCTAAAAACTGAACTCATAAATACTGATTTTTAATATCGCTGATCTTTTAATCTTACTTGTTCTTTGTTATTAAATATAAATTAAGGCTTTCTAGAAAATAATTAATATTGATACTTCATATACTAAAAGGTGATGCTAAGGACCCTATAGAAATAATGCAACTGGAAATAAATCATCAGAGGACTATATATTCTACCCTTAAATCTTTACATAGATAATTTCTTTCTTTTAGCCTCAGGCTATTTCTTTTTGGTTTTTTGTTTTTTGTTTTTTGACAGGCAGAGTTAGTGAGAGAGAGAGAGAGAGACAGAGAAAAAGGTCTTCCTTCCGTTGGTTCATCCCCCAAATGGCCGCTGTGGCGGCGCACTGCGCCAATCCAAATTCAGGAGCCAGGTGCTTCCTCCTGGTCTCCCAAGCGGGTGCAGGGCCCAAGCACTTGGGCCATCCTCCACTGCCTGCCTGGGCCACAGCAGAGAGCTGGATTGGAAGAGGAGCAACTGGGATAGAATCCGGTGTGCCGGCACCGCAGGTGGAGGATTAGCCAAGTGAGCCGCAGCGCTGCCTCTCAGGCTATTTCTTAATTGCTCAGAGATGCTATTTCTCTGATCGCTCCCATCTCATACTCTTCTAAGCCCGGGTCTCCCATCCCTTGCCCATTGAAGCCTTCCCTAATTTCTTTTGCTCCCCCCCAAAATGAATACTTAGTAATAATTTTTTTTTGACAGGCAGAGTTAGAGAGAGAGAGAGACAGAGAAAAGGTCTTCCTTCTGTTGGTTCACCCCCCAAATGGCTGCAACAGCCAGCACACTGCACCAATCCGAAGCCAGGAGCCAGGTGCTTCCTCCTGGTCTCCCATGCAGGTGCAGGGCCCATGGACTTGGGCCATCCTCCAGTGCCCTCCCGGGCCACAGCAGAGAGCTGGACTGGAAGAGGAGCAACTGGGACAGAATCCGGCGCCCCGACCGGGACTAGAACCCGGGGTGTGGGCGCCGCAGGCGGAGGATCAGCCTAGTGAGCGGCGGCGCCAGCCAATTCTTCGTAATATTTAAACTCATTATGTCACTCAAGAAACAGAAGTACCACCTATGTTGAGTCACTCCCCACAATCTTGATGTCTTTGTCATCAGCTTGTTTATTGTCCTCCTTGTTAAAATGTTATTAGCTTCCTAAGAGCAAAGACCTTATCTGCTTTGTTGGCTGCAGAAACCCATGTGCTTAGAACAGTGCCTGGCATCTGTGTAGATGCTAATAAATATTTGTTGAAGGAATGAATGAAATGAACAAATAGCTATACTTATAAAAGGGGAATTTAAAAAAAAGATGTATTTATTTATTTGAAAGGCAGAGAGAGGGAGAGAAAGAGAGCTGAGAGTTTCCATCCACTGGTACACTCCCCAAATGGCCACAATGGCCAGAGCTGGACTGATCTAAAACCAGGAGCCAGGAGCTTCTTCTGGGCCTTCCACAAGGATGCAAGGGCCCAAGGAGTTGGGCCATCTTCCACTTTTTTCTAAAAGGGGAATTTATGCTTGTGTTTCCAATTGTTTTTAAAGATTTATTTATTTGAAAGTGTTGGAGAAGGAGAGAGATCTTCCATCCACTGGTTCACTTCTCAGATGGCCACAACAGCCAGGACTGGGCCAGGCGGAGGACAGGAGTTTAATTTCAGGTCTCCCACATGGGTGGCAGGGATCCAGTCACTTGGGCCATCTTCTCCTTTTTGCAGGCCATTAACAAGAAGCTAGATCAGAAATGGAGCAGCCTATATGGGATGCTGGTGTCACAGGCGGTGGCTTAACCCTCTACATGACAGCACTGACCCCTGTGATTCTGATTTTTAAAGTGCAAAAAATTTTTCTTAAATCATCATTTTGAATTGATATTAACCTGGTTGTAGTCTCTTTTTTTCCCTTTCTACTGGTTGCTTTATATGGAAGATTTTCTGTCTGACTGTTGGTGGTCTGATCTATATAGGAAGTCTATGCTTACACCTTTTTTTTTTCCTTTTTTTTTTTTAATTTATTTGACAGGTAGAGTTATGGACAGTGAGAGAGAGAGAGAAAGGTCTTCTTCCTTCCATTGGTTCACCCCCCAAAATGGCCGCTATGGCCGGCGCTGCGCTGATCCCAAGCCAGGAGCCAGGTGCTTCTTCCTGGTGTCCCATGTGAGTGCAGGGGCCCAAGCACCTGGGCCATCCTCCACTGCTTTCCCAGGCCACAGCAGAGAGCTGGACTGGAAGAGGAGCAACCAGGACTAGAACCCGGGGTCCATATGGGATGCCGGCGCCACAGGCGGAGGATTAACCAAATGAACCACAGCGCTGGCCCCTATGCTTACATCTTGTTCTCTTTTGAGAATGAGGTTGCATAGTTTATCCAGCTGACCATAGGCTCAGGGTTTGCTTTCATAAAGTTAAGGCAGTCCTCAGACTTGGGCAATAAGTTGTAACTGCAATTCTCAATTCACTTTGTATATCAGGGCTTGGGTACAGAGCAGTCTCAAAAACAAGTAAGGCTTTATAGCAGCCATTTAAACCATTGTTTCTAGCCCCTGAACAGGATCTTCAGTGGGAATTTTAACCAGAAGTCTTATGAATAAAATTTTAGAGAATCCTTTAGCTAAAAAGTAATAATAACCAACTAAAACTATTAGACCAAGAAAAAATGCTGAAATAAATCTCAGAAAAGAGATTGGCAGAAAAGATTTTTTGAGGAATGGGGAGAAAAGACAAGATGAACGCAATTTTGTTAACTGGGAGTTAGTCATGAGTAACCATAGAATTAGTGCTCATGGGATACTTTTGGATGGACAAAGCCATATATTCCAAAGAAAAATTATAGTGATCAACAGTCTGAGTCATGGTCTCCTCTGTTTAATTAAAAGTATCCAGAGGCTCAATAAGATTTGCACAGAAATATTTTTTACCTCCTTATTATTGCATCAACAATGCTGCCTTTCTTAATAGCAACACTGTCAATAGATTAAAAATTGATATATTGAGTATACATTATACTGCATTTTATGGTCTTTAAAAGACACCTCCAAGGTACAAATAGGGGTGTGTTTCAAAGGTTTATAAATAAACTGCAAGAGCATATCCCAGAACATCCCATAAAAATCTGACTAGATGTGAGGAAAGTGCCCATATAAATACACAATTCACAATAAACATAAACAGCCTTTTTTAAGCTTAAATAATTAGTAGGCACTGAACAAAATTATTTAAGTTACACAGTCTTAATCTTTAAAACATTATAAAATATGTATTGTCTTTCTTTAACAATACTGAAGAAAAAATACTCAAAAACTTGCTCAGATCAAATAGTTGGCAATGTAGTCAGGACTCAGATCTAACTGACAAAATTCTTACTCCTCACCATTATTCTTGCTGCCTTTAATTGTAAGAAATATTTATAAACCAAGCACTTAGCTGCATTTTCTACAGAATTCACTCACACATTATACATTTTAGCAGAACTAAGAATATGTGATAACTGTAATATATATTAAGTCGTCATAAATGCCACAAAACTTATGGATAAACAACTACTACTATAGGGGCAAAAGGGGGGGAGGCATTCATAGGCACTGGCTAAAAAATAAAGCCAAAGCACAATTGTTTATATGTTTAGGATTATTTGGACTTGAGTTTGTTTTTTACCTATTGATAAAATTTCCTAAAATTTATTTGAGGTATATTTCAACTTTTTTTTTATATATATATGTAACAGTTCACAGAAGAAAAGCTGGGCCAGGCAGAGAAGACAGAATTGGATGCTCACTTAGAGAACCTCCTTAGCAAAGCTGAATGTACCAAAATATGGACAGAAAAAATAATGAAACAAACAGAAGTATTATTGCAGCCAAATCCAAGTAAGAAAGTTTACCTTCTATCTGCCTTAAATACTATTAGTGTTTATTTTATTGTTAAAATGTTTTGATAACTGAAAATAGAATTTTGAGTGTGGCTTCGGAGTCTATGGTTATTATTTTATGTACTTTTGTGAAGAGATAATAAACACTTCTGTGTATCCTGTAGCAAATTTACAAATAAAGTTTTCAGGTCTGTAGAATCCTCCTAAACTTCAATTTCAGGCAACAGCTTTGGATTTTAAGAGTTATGTTGGAAGTGTTAATTGTTAAATTAACAACAGAAGTCACTGTCCCTAATGAGTTGTACTATGAGAATTACCAGCAAAACTTATTCTCAAACAGTACTTTATATGTTGTGTTTGGGGTGAGTGCAAACTGTTGAAATCTTTACTTAGTATAGAGTTGGTCTTGTGTATATAAAGTTAATTAAAATGAATCTTAATGAAGAATGGGATGGAAGAGGGAGTAGGAGGTGTGGGATGGGAGTGGGGGTAGTAGGGTGGGTATGGGGGGAAAGCCACTATATTCTTAAAGTTGTATCTATGAAATTTGCATTCACTGAATAAAAGCTTTAAATAAAAAATAGAGTTATGTTGAGTGAGGAGTAGGGGACAGGTGTTGGATGCAGTGGTTAAAGTCACTGCTTGTTATATCCACATCTCATATTACAATGTCTGGTTTGAGTCCCACTTCTCCACTTCTGATCCAGCTTGCTGCTAATAGGCAGCAGGTGCTCTAGTGTTTGGGTCTTTGCCACACATGGGAGACCTGGATTGAGTGCCGCACTCCTAGATTCTGCCTGACCCAGGCCTCGGCTGTTGCAGTTACTTGAGTAAACCAGTAGATTGAAGAGCTCTCTCTCTTTCTCTCTCTCTCTCTCTGTTTTTTTTTTTTTTTTTTTTTCCTCTCTTCTTTAAAGATGTATTTAGAAAGGCCAAGTTACAAAAAAAGAAGAGAGACAGAGATCTTGATCTGCTGGTTCACTTCCTAAATGGCCGAGGCTGGGCCAGGCCAGAGCCAGGAGCCAAGAGCTTCCAGGTCTTCCATATGTGAGTGGCAAGAGTCCAAGGACTTGGGCCATCTTCCACTGCTTTCCCAGGCACATTAGCAGGCGAGGCTGGATTGGAAGTGGAGCAGTGGGGACTCCAACCGGCACCCATATGAGATGCCAGCACTGCAGCAGCAGTTTAACTTGCTGTGCCACGACACTGGCCCCAGGACTTTCAAATAAATAAATATATATTTAAAGAGTTAAAAGAGGCAATGATAATTAAAACATTTTTCTTTTTCATCTAAGGAACAGTTGTCCCTACATAATAAAGGGAACATTAAATAGAAACTTAAACGATTACTTTTTTCGGCTTGTTTATGTTAAGTTTTATATTTTCACATAAGTTAACTCTATTTGATTTTCAGACAACCATGGGTTTTTCAGGTCTCTCAATTCAGCAGCCTTGAAAATTAGTGCATAATAATTATTTATTCAATGATATTCACGAGTTAGCCTCTTGTCCAATGTGACAAAGCTAATTAGTGGAACTTGGACTAGAACCAGGTATATTAACGTCCAGTCTTCACTGTGAGCTTTATATATCAAAGCTGAAGAACAAAGTCACCGCTGCTTGCTTTCCTTTCTTTTTCCCCAGTGTTATTGTGACCGTGTTGTGAAATGTCATTAGACTTACTTTTAGATACTAACTTAAAGTACTATAAGAAATACTGGTAATTCTGTCACTTTAGTTAAATTTTAGTGATTCCTGAATTATGTCTTTAATATGTAATTTAGGAATACAAGTATGGCCCATTGTCTTAGGATACCATGTAGTATTTCTTATTTATTTAAAACCATATAAATCATATACCATGGCACTTTGAAAAAGTGAGAGACATTTTTCCTCTTGCTCTTTACATACAAGGAGACTTCTAAAAGTTTATGGCAAAACAGAATTATAAGTCTGTTTGGGTACAAAAAAAATTTTAAAGCCATGCACAAGATTTTCACAATATCCATTTTCCTTGAACTTTTTGAAGACTCTCTGTGTAAGTCTAGTCTAGAGTATGTTTTTCTGATTGGCCAATAAGTTCATACACAGCTGGTAAAAAAGAAAACATAGTATAACACCCCATATCACCATTCATTTTGGGTCATAAAGTAATACAGAATTGTTTTACTCTGGCTTATAAAGTTACATAGATTTTGAGCAATCATACCCAACTCCTCTTTGTCAACCATCTTGGCATGACCTTCTCCTTCCACTACACTGTGAGCCCTGTTATTTTTCACGCATGATTTTTAGAGACTACAGTTAAAAATATATATTGCATTATAGGCAGAATTGCCTGCCTATTTTAAGATTTTTTTGGCCTGTTGAAATGATACTTTGATGTATTAAGGTACCAAGTGTTTTATTAACAGAATTAAATCTACATAGATTTCAACTGTAAACTTTTTTTTAAATTTATTTTTATTTCTTTAAAAGCAAGGAGAGAGTACTGATTCATTCTCCCAGATGCCTGCAACAACAAAGAGTTGGGCCAGCTTGAAGCCAGCCCAGAACTTAATCTGGGTCTTCCACATGGGTGGCAGAAACCCAAGTACTTAAGCTATCATGCAGTACCTCCCAAGGTACACATTAGCAGGGAGTTGGAATTGGAAACAAAGTGGATACTTGAACCTGGGTACTCCATTATGGGATGTAGACATCATAATCAGTGTACCAACTACTCATCCCAACTGTACACCTTTGACCAGATAGGTATAAAAGCAATCGAAGCTAAGAATCACTCCAGTCAGAAACTGAAATTCCAAAATTTAGTTAGCATCCTCTGATTGGTTATCTTTTGAAAAGGCTCATTTTGATTTTAACTAAAGTAAAGGCTTTTAAATTCCTGCCTAAAAACCCTTTTTATAACTGGAATCTACCACAAAAATTATTATTATTCTGTTATGTATTATAATTACCCTTTTGCCAATTCCTGAACTGTTTCTGTTACTAGTACTGCTGGGTTTTGAAATTTTCAGTGTACTGTGTGAAATTTATGTAGGAATCTATGTGAAGTGCTTAAAAGAAACCAGTTTGGCTTAGGTTCTTACCAGATTGTGATTTTAACTTATACTTAATCATTGCTGCTGGAAACTTCAGTTATTTTCTCATTTTTCTCAACGTACCTCCCTTTTTGGCAGTGATGTAAATATGAATTTCTTTTCTGTTAAATATTACAATAAGCAAAGCACGTACTGATGCTAAAGGTGTCAGATGTGGTGACCCTTTGGTTTTTGTAGGTCTTTTAATTCCCTATTTTCCTAGCTGGAGGTCTTTGATTTTGAAATTTGAAGTCTATTCAAAGTTTAAACATTAGAATTCAAAATGCTAAAATAGGGGAAAAGACAACTCCAGTACATAATAGCTGAATTATCATCAATCTTCTGGAACATTAAAATCCCATAGAATACTCAGAGAGTAGCTTTATTTCTTACATAGGTTTTGTGCCAAGATATTTTATCAAATTTCTAAAATACAAATTTCTTAGAGCTAAGTAATATTTTAACATATAAAAAAATTATATGCTAAGATATATACTTGAATGTGCTAATTGCTTATGTCAGATAGAAGACCAGAATAATCTTTTACATAGTATTGCATTTTTGAAATTATGGGTAATTTTAACCTTTCTCTTAGATGCCAGGATAGAAGAATTTGTTTATGAGAAATTGGATAGAAAAGCTCCAAGTCGTATAAACAACCCAGAACTTTTGGGACAATATATGATTGATGCGGGGACTGAGTTTGGTCCCGGAACAGCATATGGTAAGTGAAAGGTAAAAAGGTTTTGTAAAAAATACATTTATTCTTAGATTTTAACTGCTTAGGGATGTAATTAACATATATTAAATCTCCTTTAGCCTCAAGTTTATTAAGTTAAAATTTTTGATAACTTCAGAAATACAAGTGACCAATAAGTAGCTAAAGGTCAACTTAATATATTTAAGCAAATATTTAATTGTTCTGAAAATTCATATCTTTTTTTAAAAAAGAATTTATTTATTTATTTTGAATGGTAGAGTTACAGAGAGAGGAAGAGACAGAGTTGTCTTTGATCTGCTGGTTTGCTACCCAAATGGGCACAACAGGCTGGGCTGAGCCAATCCAAAGCCAGGAGTGAGGAGCTTCTTCTGGATCTCATACATGGGTGCAGGGTCCTAAGCACTTAGGCCATCTTCCACTGCTTTGCCAGGCACATTAACAGGGGGCTAGATTGGAAGTGAAGCAGCCAGGTCTCCAAATGTCACAGCACTGGCCCCAGAATTTATATCTTTTTTAGTTCTGAAAAGTTAAGTGAATTTTTCACTTGGACTCCTATTGATCTTCCAACATCTCTATTGTAATGTATTTCTTGTTTTATAATACATTCATTGTTTATATATATATATATATATATATATATATATATCTTCTGCTTTTATTTTTAAGCTTTCTAAAGGGCTTATTTATTTTATATTGAAGGTACTTGGTGCATAGTAAGTTGAACAAATCACTATAGTGCTGTTGTTAAAATTTGGGAATAATATCAGTACCCCAAAAATGTTCTCTTTAGATGTTTAGAATTAATTTCTAGTTTCCTTTTGTATGTTTCAGATATTCTGTAATTGTGTTTTACAGTTATGCCATCTTCCCTTTTTTTGACAGGCAGAATTAGACAGTGAGAGAGAGAGACAGAGAGAAAGGTCTTCCTTCCGTTGGTTCACTCTCCAAATGGCCACTACAGCCATCGCGCTGAGCCGATCCAAAGCCAGGAGCCAGGTGCTTCCTCCTGGTCTCCCATGCGGGTGCAGGGGCACAAGGACTTGGGCCATCCTGCATTGCCCTCCCGGGCCACAGCAGAGAGCTGGACTGGAAGAGCAGCAACCGGGACTAGAAGCCGGCACCCATATGGGATGCCGGCACCGCAGGCAGAGGATTAGCCTAGTGAGCCGCGGTGCCGGCCAGTCTTTCTTAATTGCTATATTCTGACTTAAATGTACAACTCTGAAGTTCAGTGTCATACCTCCTTATCACTCAGATAAAAGTTTCTGGTAACATAAGACAACCTGAGATTTCTATAGCTTATTTTCTGGATGTTTATGGCTAATGCTTCTCTTTATTAAGACTTAAAAAAATTCAGTTGCTGAGTATAAGCAGAAGGGGCAGAGGACTTTAAGAACTAAAATCAAGAGCTTATTTCCAGTGTCATTGGAGCAGAAGGTACCACTAGTTTGAGGCAGCACAATAAATTGACAACCCTCTGAAGGTTGTATGATCTGGGAAACCATTTTTCAGGCTACTTTACTTAAATAATCCCTCTCAATAAGATACAAACAAAATATCTGAACAGGGACATGGTTTGTGGTGCAGTGGGGTGAGACACTGCTTGGGATCCCACATTTGATATCAGAGTGCAAGTTCAAGTCCTGAATACAGTGCTTCCAGTCCAGCTTCCTGCAGATGTGCCTGGGAGGCAGCCCAAGTACTTGGATTCCTACCACCCATGTAGGAGAACTGGATAGAGTTCTGATATACTGGTTTCCTGCTGCAAGAATCCTGGTTGTTAGGGACATTTGGGGAGGGAATTAGCAGATGAAAGACCTTTCTCTTTGTCTCTCCCTCCCTCTCTCTAATTCTGTTTTTTAAATAAATAAACTTTCAGAATGTAAAAAAAAAAAAAAAAAAAAAAAAAAAACTCTTGCAAGAAATTGATTCTTATTTGGATATGAAATTGTAAATAGATTGAGTTTCCACAGATAGTTTCTGATGTATGAAATAACTCATAAATCCTGGGATTAAATGAATTAAGTTTTGGTAGCCATCTTTATGTTGAGGAAATAATGTATAAGTTGTATAATGCAATGAATGAAGCTTTTCCTATGTATAACTTTAATTTCTACATTGTATTCTTCAAAAAAATTCTTTGATAAAGTTGAAAATTCTTAAGATTTTAAATACGGGGCCAGTCCTGTGGTGTTGGGCCAAGCCTCCCCTGCAATGCCAGCATCCCATATGGCACTGGTGTCCTGGGTGCTCCTCTTCCAATACAGCTCTCTTCTTGTGCCTGGGAAAGCAGTTTAAGGTGGCACAAGTGGTTGGGCCCATGCATCTATGTGGGAGACCTGGAAGAGTTTCCTGGCTCCTGGCTTGGGATCAGCTCATCTCTGCCCATTGCAGCCGTTTGGGGAGTGAACCAACAGATGGAAGATTTCTCTGTCTCCCTTTCTCTGTCTGTAACTCTACCTCTTAAATAAATAAAAATCTTTTAAAAAATTCTTAAGATTGGCCAGCGCCGCGGCTCACTTGGCTAATCCTCCACCTGTGGCTCTGGCACCCCAGGTTCTAGTCCCAGTTGGGGCACCGCATTCTGTCCCGGTTGTTCCTCTTCCAATCCAGCTCTCTGCTGTGGCCCAGTAAGGCAGTGGGGGATGGCCCAAGTGCTTGGGCCCTGCACCCGCATGGGAGACCAGGAGAAAGCACCTGGCTCCTGGTTTCGGATCGGCGCAGTGCACCAGCCGTAGTGGCCATTTGGGGGGTGAACCAACGGAAGGAAGACCTTTCTCTCTGTCTGTCTCTCTCTCACTGTCTAACTCTGCCTGTCAAAATAAATAAATAAATAATGAAATTCTTAAGATTTTAAAATAGATAATTATTTCTAAATTTTAACTTAATTTTTAGAAAAACTTTATACATCACTGTTGATCAGATGCTTGAGTCATAAAGATATCTGAAGGAGACCCAGTTTTTTCCTTCACCAAGCTAAAGACCTGCTGAAGCATGAGCATTAAAAAACTTATAGATTTTTTCCATTTTTAATTTCCTTAATCTGTACCTCTGATAGTTTCAGTAAATGTGTCCTGATTATTGGAATTGGGCCTCTTGAACCTATTATTAATAGCTTGTAACTAAAAATGTAGTATTTCATGCATTGTACTAATAAGTACAATGGAGTACATGTGTTTATGTATTACTTCAGTAAATCCTCTCATATCCTACAAGTAAGATAAATTCTATTATTGCCATTTAAAAGCTAAGGAAATTGAAGCTTGGAGAGGTTAAGTAATTCATCCATGATCACATACTTACTAATTTATATGTAAATCTGTCCATATCCAGAGACAGACCTCTTAATTACAGTACTGTCTTCCTTTCCTTACCAGTTAGTTCTAATCTCATTCTATCATGAAAGAATTAATATACACAGAGGTAAAGTTTATTATAGGCAAAACTAGGAGTAGAAGGCTGATCCTTAGGATTTCTTTTCTTCTCTACTTTCTGCTTTCCTACTGTGCTTGCCCTATTTAAATACTAGAGTGTATGTGTTATAATGACATGAGTTTTTTTTCTAAACTTAAAATATAAGATAAATGTATAGTTACAGAAACAGAGGAAAATTGTAACTTGATCTACTTACTAAAATATTGTAAACATTATACTTTTGTAAAATAACTGTACTGTTTGGGTTGAGTTTTGGTACATGTATATATCCATTGGTAGAATTTGCACAGTTACCTATGATATGACATAAAGTTCATCTGAGTTTTTTTTATTTAGATGTTTACAGTCTTAAATTTACTTTTAAAATAAAGCCACCTTAAACACAAGTAAACAAATGATAACTTTAAAGCAGTCACATTACTAATTTTTCTTTACATGATTTTATGTTCTGCATTACTAAACCCTGGTTAAATTTTTTTTTTCTCCTTTGCAGGTAATGCTCTTATTAAATGTGGAGAAACACAGAAACGAATTGGAACAGCAGACAGAGAGTTGATTCAAACTTCAGCCTTAAATTTTCTCACTCCTTTAAGAAACTTTATAGAAGGAGATTATAAAACAATTGCTGTGAGTTGGAAAATGTTCCCTTTATTAAGTAAAATAACTTAGATCTTTATTTAGGTTTTTTTTTTTTTTTTTTAACAGACAAAGTTAGACAGTGAGAGAGAGAGAGAGAGACAGAGAGAACGATCTTCCTTCCAATGGTTCACCCCCTACATGGCCGCTACAGCCCGGTGTGCTGCGGCCAGTGTGCTGCGCCGATACAAAGCCAGGAGCCAGGTGCTTCCTCCTGGTCTCCCACATGGGTGCAGGGCCCAAGGACCTGGGCCATCCTCCACCGCCTTACTGGGCCACAGCAGAGAGCTGGCCTGGAAGAGGGGCAACCGGGACAGAATCTGGCGCCCCGACCGGGACTAGAACCCAGGGTGCCGGCGCTGTAGGCGGAGGATTAGCCTAGTGAGCCGCAGCACCAGCCTATTTAGTTTTTAATGAATAATTTGCCCCTTATTGACTATAGATATAGCAGATTAGAAAACTTAAATTATCTATATAGGTACATGTTCATTAGAACATAAAACTAAACTAAAACGGAAGACCATTATTAATAACATCATCTGTTCTTGTGTCCTGTAGTGTTATTGAGATACTTTTACATCCATTATTATTCATTACTATTACTAAATTCTATCTATACAGCCCTGGAATGATTATGAAAATACAAAATATCACGATAGCATAATTATATAACTATTCTTCCATTAGGAGTTAGAAACTTAATTATTGGAAGTATTAGTCTGGCTATTCTTTTTTATCTGTTAATGTGTGTCTAGAAGCCTGTTTTCACACTGCTTTGTTTTATTTCTGAAGTGTATAAAACATAACTTTTTCTCAAACCTAACCAAGTCAATAATTTTTTATTTTAAATTGCCTGTGATGCAGAGTAAAGAACTAGGTGGATTTTTTTCCTCAGATTTTTGCAAGAGTGGTCTACTGAAATGCATCTTCAAATTTAATTTGTAGATTTCTTTTAAAATTGTAGAGAAATTTAATATTTTTAAATGTCAGCATGTATTTACATACATATATAAGCAAGTATCTGTTCTGAAACAGAGAAGAACCACCAAATTGAAATGTGATTCAAAAGATACTAGCTGGTCAGTAGAATAGAATTTGATGTATGGAATCTATTAATAAAGCAAACTCAATTTTTATAAACTTAATTTTTTTTAAAGATTTTTATGTACTTGAAAGACAAAAGTTATAGAGAAACAGAGAGAGAGAGAGGTCTTGGATTCACTGGTTTGTTCCCTAAATGACCACAAGAGCTGTAACTGAGCCAGTCTGAAGCCAGAATCCAGGAGCTTCTTACGTGTCTCCCACGTGGGTACAGGGGCCCAAAGACTTGGACCGTCTTCCACTGCTTTTCCAGGCCATAGCAGAGAGCTAGATTCAGACTCCAACTGTTAGCCATATGGCATGCCCGGACTACAAGCTTCAACTTTACCCACTATGCCACAGCACCAGCCCCTAAACTTAATTTTCATACTGACGTTCCCAGGGGAATTCCAAGTTGTATACACACACACAGGCACATACTATTTACTGTACTTTGAAATTCCATTTTGGAGTTGAGTTGCATTTGGTGTTGTGGCACATTAAGAGAGCCATACTCTAGACCCATATACTTCCTTCAGCATAAGCATCTTCTGGATAATCTGTAACAGTTTGAAACAGTTTCTCGACCTGGCCCCTTCTTACATAATGAACTGAATAGTTTTTTGTGAGAGCTGACTGCTTGTGGGATGTTTAGTAGTAGCATCCCTAGATTCTACCCAGTAGCTACTAGTAAAATCCCTTTCCTAATTGGAACAGCCAAAAAGATACTTTGCAGTATTCTATGAGGGGCAAAATCACAAAATATTCAAACTACTATTCTTTTATTTCTATCCTAATCTTCCATCTGCCCCAGAGGTTTTTGTTTTTGTTTTTTTAAGGAAAAAGGAAAGTTAAATGCCTGAATGATTACTTAACAGCCAATTTTGTATTCACAAATCTTTACCAGGAAATACATATATTTAATGGAGAATAATACTTTCAGCATGTGTGTTTTTACTGGATTAAATCATGTTTGATCATTCTTTTTTTCTTTTCTATATTAACAGAAAGAAAGGAAACTATTACAAAATAAGAGACTGGATTTGGATGCCGCAAAAACCAGGCTAAAAAAGGCAAAAGCTGCAGAAACTAGAAATTCAGTGAGTATTGTTTTTTCTGTTGTTAAGACTAGAATATTACTTCAATTTGTTTATCAAAACTTACTACGTAAAGATTAGTACAAAGTAGATGAAGTAAGAGGTGATACTCAACAGAGTTAATAGCAGAAGTTAGGGTAGTTCCTAAAGCTGTGTCATGTTCATTAAAAATCCTCAGTGGAAATGGCAGTATATCTCTTGGAATGAATTAGTATGCTAAAATATGAATTTATTTTTAAGATAATTTCATAAACAGGAAAAAATAGTTAAGATGAGCAAGGATCATTTGGAAATAAATGTTTGAGCTGGAGCAGAATCTCTTTATTCAAAATGCGTACACAAGCCCCAAGGGTCATTGTGGAAGGAAAATACTGTTGGTCAAGTTTCAGTACAAAACTTTAACAAGCACTGTTACAGGTTAATGATATTCTGCCTTGTTCCTAGAAGAGTACCAGAAAGAACATAAGGTTTATTAGTACACAAGTTCTTTTATTATTCTGAATTATATTACTACTACTATTATCAAAAAGTATGAGAGCTAAGTAGAAAAATTTTAAGAGCTGTTTCCTTCTTATATATCTAGAAAAGGTCTTAGTGATTTTCTGCTGTGTATTTCTTAAGTCAAAAATTTTTCCATAGGAATTTTATGGTTAAAATAAAAGAGAATACAAATGACTTTATTCAGCAATTTCATTTATACACAGCTTTTCTGTAATTAATATATAACACAAAATTTAAATTCAGCCAAGTATTAAAAATATTAGTCAAAAGAAATTCACATCTCCTGATTTTAGTGGTATTCTTTCTCCCAAATAACCAATACATTTTTTTAAACTTTATAACAACAAGTCTGAAATAGTTTAAAAAGGACAAGTTCTTTTAATTTTTTACTATGAAAACCTTGAGGCATACCTATATTTGGTAAATTTTTTAACTGTATTTCTCTTAATTTACTTGAAGAATTCATAAAAATTGAAACCACTAGAAGTTAGGGTTTACTTTTTTTCCCTCCTTGACGCATTTTCTGGTTCTTAGTTGGCAAATGAAAAAATTAATTTAGGGCCAGTGTTGTGGCGCAGCCTGTTAAGCTCCCACTTGTGATACCTGCATTCCATATCAGAGTGTATCACCATGCCAGTTTGAGTCCTGGCTACTCTGCTTTTGATCCAGCAATCTGCTAATACTCCTGGGAAGACAGCAGAGGATGGCCCAAATATTTGGACCCCTGCCAGACATATGGGAGATCCAAATGGAGTTACAGGGCTCCCGATTTTGTCCTGGTTCAGCCCTAGCTGCAACAGCCATTTGGAGGATGAACCAGCAGATAGAAGGTCTGTGTCTGTCTCCCTCTCACTCTTGCTGTGTTACTCTTTCAAAAAAGTAAATCTTTAAAAAAGAAAAAAAAAAAAAAAGATTAATTTAACCCTACTTCCTTTGATTTCACTTCTTTATAAATTTATATGGATTAATTTTTCTGTCCTCCACTACTAAGGTTCGGGAACCACGCATATTAGCACTTTGTAAAAAATTTATTTACTAGTTTCTGGAACCTCTTGTCAAATTCTGTGTTTATTAAATGCTAAATCTGAGTAAGGTACTATACTGAGAAGGAGTTCATAGATAATATTGCAAAATCTGTGGTTCCATTAGTTCTTAATTTAGAATAGTAGATTAAACTTTTTGGTGATTTAGGCATATCAGTAAAAGATTTCTGCCTGTGTCCAGTATTGCTACTTTGCTAATAAGGCAGCATCAAAAGCCTTTTTTCAAAAATTGTCAGCAGAGCAGAAAGAAAAAACCCACTTTAATGTTTCCCAGTGAACAAAAGTAGTCTTGAAAATAATGTATATAAATATATATATGATAAAAATAAGGTCTGAGAAGCAAAGGCAAAAATATCAATGCTGCAGTGGAGGATGGCCCAAGTGCTTGGGCCCCTGCACCCGCATGGGAGACCAGGAGGAGGCACATGGCTCTTGGCTTCGGATCAGCGCGCCAGCCACAACGTGCCAGCCATGGCGGCCACTTAGGGGGTAAACCAATGGAAAAAGGAAGACCTTTCTCACTGTCTAACTCTGCCTGTTAAAAAAAAAAAAAAATCAAATGCATGTAAATTATAAGGCACCTGCTTTACTAATTAAATTGAATCTAATGGAAACTTTAATAATATTTGAGTTTTATCAGCTGGCTTCAAAGCAGTCTAAAATTTAGAGATTTAAATGAATGTTACTTTTGGACACCCAAATTTGATGTGAAATACTTCTTCAAATAATATTATGTGTCTAATAGTTCCCTTTACACACTTAAGCATTTCCCCAACAGTCTAAATCTTTAATCTGTAAACTCTAAATTTATAGCACCATCATAGCCTAAACTTTGTATGAACACATGTTCAAATTTTATAAAAATACTAAGATTGACATGCCTTTCATATTTCTTCAGATTGTGCCAAGACCTGGCTGAGACTGATTGAAAGAGTGTGGTTGAAGGCATCATAAATTCATAAAATAGAAATGATCTTTGAGTAAGAAAATTGTGTAGCCAGAAGGGCTTTAATAGGTGAAAATTTATAAAAATTTTAGGTAACTGACTTTAAAATAATGCATTTTCTCTAATTTATTGTAACTTGAAAATAAAACATCAACCATATTTTCGTTTTAAATTTTTGAATCTTTTGGAAAAATTGATGGGCATCAAATTATGAAATTTCATAACAATAATTATGGTTGAGTTTTTTTTAAAGTAGAAAATACATTTTATCAGCTTGTTTAATTCTTGTTTAGTGTGTTCTTTATTGTGCAGAAGTAACTTGTTTCACTGTGTTCATTGCTGTAATGTGTTCTTTGTCTCTTGCCTATGCACTTAAGCAACTAAACTCAGCTCGCCTTGAAGGAGATAACATTATGGTAAATTTCTCTTACATGCTCAACTTCCTGCATGTAAAATGGCTGAAGGTTTGTTGGCCTACTGTGTTTTCTACATCTTGACTAAAGTGCCTTCTCTTGTTATTAGCTGCATGTAGAAGTTAAAGAAATAGTTAAAGCCAAGTATTCATTAACAAAAAAATCTAGCTCAAGTGATACTGAAACTTGAAAAAAAGAAATCGTATGTTTTAATTGCCAAGTATATTGGCTATGCCAAATATAGTTTTTTAGAATGGATTTATACATTAAAATATAGTGCTTTTTGCTAATTAAGCTGGCAATTCATGTAATCACCTTTGGCAAAGAAACCTTTACTTTGAGAAAGGTTTAAGGTAGACAAATTGACTTCTCAGTTGCTTCGTTATTTACATTATTTTCACCCAAACTCAAGATAAAGTTAACAAAATTAATTTTTTCTGCCATTCTGGGCCAAGACTACCTCCAGTAAGTTAAGTATTCTTCTAGGGGTCAGGTCTATTCTCTGTCCAGTGCTAACTCCGGTTAACAAAATTGTGGAATAGTGATAGCCTCCAATAGCCAGTCAAAATTTGTTTTCTATCAATATCCTATGTATATATGAGCTCCAGTTGAAGAAGTTTTTGAGATACTAGAAATTTTTTAAAAAATTATAAAATCTGAATGTAGCCAATTGGTACCTGTTAGCCAATAAAAATGTATAAATACAATGTTTGGTATACTTTTAGAACATTACTTTAAAAGTGGCTTGTCTTCAGTACAAATATAAATTGGCAGTTAAGTGACTTGCACTAGCATTGTACAAAAAGCAGGGGAAAACAACTTTTTTAGTGTTGTAGATTATTTTACAGAATATTGTAAACTGCAGTTTTGTTTTTGTTTTTAGCTAAAATTACTGAAGCCCTGGGTGAATTAGGGCTTGCTTTAGATAGCAAGAGAATGCATTCATTTATTTCCATTGTTCTATCTGTAGATAAATGAAAAGTGTTTTTCAGTCATTGCTAATTTAGTATGTTAATCATAGATTTTCTTTTGGGTAAAAGAGTCTCCTAAACAGTTAACAGAACTTTATTTCATTTATTAAGCATTGTTTTACTACTAATGTAATCTACTTACAGTAAGATATATTTATATTTAACTGTGGTAATGTTAAATTCATTGTATCTCAGTTTTATCGTGTACCCCAAAAAGGGGCTGTATCAGCATTCATTGTCCATTTATCCTTGCTTTATTTTCATTCTCTAAAATTCTAGAATTAATACCTAAGTGAGAAATTAGAAATCAAAACTTAGTCTTGATCTCTCATTTTGCAGATGAGAACACTGGAACTGAGAAGTTAGATAGTCTCAATTTGAGAAAACTGTTAAATTAGCTTGTAGAATTAGCATAAGATTTAAAAGTTGACAATATTGGTAAATATAAAAAGCATACTTTCACAGTATTTTAAATTGTACAGACTTAGTTACCTTCTGTATTTTATCTGTTAGTGTGATTCTGGGAAAGAAGAGTATGCCATTTGAATTTAAATACTTAAATTTTTCAATACTTGTAGAAAATGTTAAATTCCAACTTTCTTTCATGCTCTATATTTTTCTCTAATTTTTAATGCTGGCTAGATTTGGGCAGAGGAAGTGACAAAAGTAAGTAAATTATTAAACTATGGAATATGAAACAAGAATTTAATTGCCATTCATTCAGTAAATATTTACTGCATAACAACCATGGGTCTTGTCACAATCTATTTTACTATGTCTTACAAAATCTGAAAACATGGAAATGCTCAAGTCTGTTTTGCTAATAGCTCCACAGAACAACAGAGCAAAGCTGCAAAGATGTGGTTTATACATACCCTGATAAATCCTACATGCCTGTTAAGTGATAATCTTACAATGCCTTGCTAGAAGACAATTCAAGTATTTTGTTTATTCCTTGACAATTATATTTTAGTAGTAATTTTTAAAATCTAAAATATACTTAACACCGTATCCTATGTCTTCAGAGATTGGATCTATCATTTCACACAAATGAATTTTTTAGAGAGCTGAAGCTTGCTTTCTCCAGCACCACAGCTATAACTGTGAAAAACATACTTTACTGCTGCATTAAAAATGGGATAGCAAATATTTATTTTTACTTAAAATTAAGATCATTATTGCAAATATCCATTAGTGAACCATGTAACAGTTAGATTTGATCATTTTTCAAGTGTGTATCTTCTCTCATAATGTCAGACTGTTCTAGAAGCTGTCCATATGACTACTGCTACCAGTCCTTCTGCTTGTGTTAACCATTTCTGATCTTCTCTGAGTTAGGAAATCTAGTAATTAAGGAAGAATTTAAGGAATAAAATTATGACATTAGCACAGATTTGGTTGGAGTGCTGTGTTAGGTCTTCAGAAACATTTTTCATTTACTTCTTGTGTTCAAGCCTGCCAAATGTGACCTTTACATGAGAATAATGCTCAGGATTGAGGGCAGGTGATAATTGTGGTCCCTGGCTATTAATAAGTTTATTAACTTTATTTCCTGACTGTAGAATTGCTGACTATACACTCTGTTTCATTCATAAGCTATGGAGCTATTGATAAAGACTTGGAAATGCAGTGTGAAGTTCATGACTTATCCTCCCCTCCCCTTTTATGAAATATATTTAATTTAGTCATGGTTCCATTCTTTTTTCTGATTTCTTCCTAAACCTCTAGCATGGTAACGGGATAGAACAATGTATTGGAGAGAATATAGGTTTAAATAAGAAAAATAGGATGGCTTACCCATTTGTTCGGTGTACAGGTATATAAATTTCTGACTTGATTTTGCAGTCTCTACATTGAGAAATAGTTGATGTAAATGGGAAGAAACTCATAAAGCAAATGTTTATATATCTGAAAAAATCTGAAGAAAATATATCAAAATGAGTTCATGAGGTGTTTTTTTTTTATTCTATACTTCTGTCATTTTTATAATTTAAAGTTTAAAAGTTTATATTCCTGGACTATTTCAAGACTTAAGCCTAATTAAAGAAGTAGGTAACAATGACCAAGGTTGTCACAGCAAATGCCTCAGAAGCCTGGCCAAAATTTCAAGCTTTTTGATACCTAGTCCTGATATTACGGACAGTAGATCTTGCCCATTTCCCAAGTTATATCTTTGGAACTCTTTTTTGCTTACCTAATTCATTATGCTATTTTATAGTATGGACCAAGTTGTCTGGTAACAGCAGTTCTTAGCAGGTCTTTTCCCTAGCACTGTACATCTCAATTGAAAATTAAGTCAAGGAATGAGATCTTCTGGAAGATTTAAAATTAGCCCTTTAAGTTAGTTGTCCTACTTCATACCCTTCTTATCTAACTAGATCATTTTCTTCCCAAGTAAACAGATTATGGTGAACCTAATTTAAATTTCCTTTACCTCTCAGATTAATTATGATCAATTATATGTATCAAAAGTACAGATAGTTTGGGACATTTGCCTGTTTGCAGCCACCCTAGACATACACTGAAACTTCTTCAAGAAATGAGATTCATTCCTTTCCGATCATTTACCTTTTCTAAATAAAGATCTAAGTTGTATAGAAGAATGACTTACTAAACTCTGCAACATGGTACCTTTCTTCACAGTTAAGTAAATTTTGCATAAGCCTAGAAAGCCAATCCTTCATCCTTCATGAGGTCATTCAATATATATTTTTTTTCATTTAATATACTTTTTACTCAGTGTGCCTGGCATTTAAACATTTCCATTTCAGTCTCAAACCAACTGGTCACTTTATTCTGCTACCTAGCTTGCTTACTTTTGTACAGAAATATTGCCATTTAGTAGGCTGTTTTGCCCTTTTTATTAAAGGCCATTGAATTGTCCCTTCAGAATCAAAGACCTACATGGAACTAGCCTACTTTACTTCTGAACTTACTTATTTTGGGTTTGCTGTAATTACTTCTAATAAAGCCATTTTGTGTTCAACCAAGCAGAATAGTAAATAATGAGAATATAACACTGACCTGATTGGTTTTCCTTAGAAAGAATATTAATTCTTTTCTTCCCCCGGGACTTTTTTTCTGCTTCATACTAGCTTCCAGATGAAGTTACTTTAACCCTGCTTTTTCCATGTGTTCTGGTTTTAGTCACATGAATTTTAATTTCTTTTAATTACTCCAAGTACTCCAAGTTTATATCCATAAATCCAATCTAGAGGTCAATTCTTAGTCCCCTCTGCCAGATCTTTTGGCCATTCGAATATTACAGCAACTGATTTTCTACTTTGCTGCTACTTCCATATTGATGAGCTCACTTAACTATTGCTGCTGAAGGGTGAAGGGAAGAGTGATAGGGCATAAAATGAAAAAGTTTAGACTAAATGTTTATATTTAGTATATCTTGTAAGTGTTGTAAATTATTTCCATAGGGAAAAAATTAAGCTGGAGAGATAATAAAAAGTAGCATTAAGATGACATTGTCACCAGTGATAATTGGAGAGAGGAGAACAGAAGTGGATAAGCTAATTCTTTTCAGTGAGCTGAGGTTTAATTTTCTCCTCTCCAGTAATTACTTATACCAGCCAATTCTAGCTGAAGGTTTGAAAACATATTTGCCATATTTACCATTTTTAGATCTTGATTTTTTCAGTATACTGATTTGTCTCAGCACTAAACCTATATGCCTGTGTTGGAAGGTTGAAGCTAGTAGTGGTATGCTATAATATGTAGGTTCCTAATCCAAAATTTAGAATGCCCCATAATCAAACTTTTTTAAGCACTGATAGGATGTGGGAACTTCAGCACCTGACCTTGTGATAGGTTATAGAACATAACACACCAAAAAATATTTGTATAAAGTTAACTTCAGTCTGTGTGTATTTGACATATGAAACATAAGTGAATTTCACATTTAGACTTTGGTCCCATCCCCAATGGATACAAATACTCTAAAATTTGAAACACTTCTGGTCCCAAGCTTTTCAGATGAAGGATACTCAGCGTGTAATCTCTTCCCAGCTCATCAGTGACTTTACCTTGCTGGCTTGAAATCAGCCAGAAATCAGTCAGGGTTTGAGCATTATACCACAAAATCAAGATATTTGAGTTTTTCTTATTCCTGTAAAACGAGTTTACTAGCACACCACTGATTGAAGGTCAGCCATAACTTTAAAAAAAATTTAAGCAGTCATATATATTAACATATTTCTGTTTAAGGCATATTCTAATCAACAGAAAAGAAAATGTATAAGAAAGACATTTAAAGTGTTTGACAAAGAATCTTCTGAAAGAACCTAATAACTATGTTGCTAAGAACCAGTATTGAATATCTAAATACTAGAGGTTAAAAAAAATCCTTTGGCTTTATGCTGAAGTCTTGTATGTGAGATCAAAGACTTTAACTTCACAGTTTAAAAAAATCATAGTAATAATTGAGAAATTTATTTGCACTACTATTACTTTATACTTACAAAACTGGTACTCTTAAAAAGATTTTGTAAAATATTAAAATTCAGCAAAAGTTCATACTAGGAAATTATTAAAATATCTTTATTTTCCCATAGTAGTTTTAATAGGCTCTTAGGAGTATGTAATTAAGCTTTAGCATTAATAGTTGAGAACTGATAAGGAATCAGTTCTGTCAAGGTTAAGTAGTATTAGAAAAGTAAGAACTAGAAACCAGGAATAAGTTTATTTATAAAGCGGAATCAGAGAATTGCCAGATTATGATTTGAGTTTGGGGGATTTTTTACTGTCCAAATGAATTTATATAAGATGAAATGAGTCTTCTAATGATATTCTAAAACTATGTTCCAACTTAAGTCTGAACAGGAATTAAGAATAACTCAAAGTGAATTTGATCGTCAAGCAGAGATTACCAGACTTCTGCTAGAGGGAATCAGCAGTACACATGTAAGTGTTCATTGATTGGAAATTCATTTAGAGCAAAAGACTTTGATAATCCTGAAGATTGTAAGGCAATTTGGGGAGTAAAATTATTGGGCTTCCTTTTCATTTATCAAGGAAATTTAAATTGTGGCATTTTCCAAGATACATAATGAAATATTCTAAATTTTTGCTTATACCTAATCATCATCTTGTCCTATCCTCATCAAATTCACTTGGTTTTTATGGACTAAGAAGAATTTGTTACTGTATCATTCATTGAGGTCAATCTTAATAAGATGTACAATACTGGTAATTCTCCTTCAGTACAGTGCTGTGCTGTCTCCCCTTAGCATTTGCCTCATTAGGTATATTACAGATCTAAGAACTGACTGCACCTCTTCTTCACAGGCCCATCACCTCCGCTGTCTGAATGACTTTGTAGAAGCCCAGATGACTTACTATGCACAGTGTTACCAGTACATGTTAGATCTCCAGAAACAATTGGGAAGGTGGTAATTTCCTTTTCACATAAAAAACTCCGGATGAGGGAAGAAACTCAAGATTTTGCACATAAGCTAATAGGATAAAGATTAGAAGAATTGAAGGCTTTTATTGGCTTGTGTAGAACTGGGATTTATTCTTAGGAAAGTAATTATCAGATTTCTGAAATTGAGCTCTTCTGGCAGGGATGAAAAGAGAATTTAAGTACTTTATTGCTATATGAAGAAAACTTAAAAGTGAGGTTCACTTTTCTTTGCTACTGAGTGATTTTTTTTGCTGTTAGTGAATTATGTTGACTCTTCGTTACCCTTAAAGAAAAACTAATTTATAGTTATTCATTACTCACTGTTCACTATATAAAAAAGTTTTGGAGTATTCTCAAAGACTTCAAGCCCTACTGATAGTATTATTTTGAAGGTCAGGGTAATGGGCTTTCAAGAAAAATGATAGTGTTTAAAGCATATACCCAATCATTCATCAAATACTTATTGAATACCTGCCATGTGCCTGGCATTGTTTGATATTCTGGAGGTTATGTCAGCAAACAAAACAAGCAAAAATGGTAGTATTTATGAGGCTCCCGTTGTAAGGTGATACTTGAAAAAAAAAATGTATAAGGCAAATACAGTCTCTGTTCTCACAACACTTAATATCTAGGTAGAAATACAAGCCATTGGTGGAGAGGCCATGTGATAGTGGGAAGGCAGAAGTGCAGGGTAGTGTGAGGCATCTGTGACTCAGGACAGCTAGCAGAGTTTCCCAGGTGAAGTTGTTGTAGCGGAGTAATCCAGAAAGGGGTACGAATGAATATTCCAAGCAAACTGAGAACATATATATAAAAAGGTTGGAGGGGAGAGAGTTTGGCAAGTTCAGGGTACTAACATATGGTTGTAACACAATGTTCATTGGAAATGAAATGGTAGATGAGGCTAGAGAAGCTAAGTGGGGCCATGCCATGATTTGATTTTTGAAGTGAACTGTGGTAAGGAATTTGGATTTTTTTTGTTGTTGTTAAAAATTTTATTTATTTATTTGAAAGGCACAGTTACAGAGAGAGGTGAGACAGAAAGAGATTTTCTGTTCACTGGTCCACTCTCCAAATGGCAACAGTCAGGGCCGGGCCCTACCAAAGCCAGGAACTTCTGAATCTTCCACTTGGGTGCAGGGGCCCAAGCACTTGAGCCATCTTGTGCTGCTACTTTCTCAGGCACATTAGCAGGGAGCTAGATCAGAAGTTGAGCAGTTGGGACTTGAACCAGCACCGATATGGGGTACCAGCATCTCATGCAGCAGCTTAACCTTCTGTGCCACAGAACTGGCCCCAGGAATTTGGATTTTGTATAGGGAGGAAGCATTAAAGCTGGGTAGTGATATGGTACATTTGAAGGAAGAGTATCAAGTTACAAGAAATAAGATTCTTTTTAAAAAATCACTTTGCCTTTCTGCATATTAATTCAGAAGAATTCAGAATTCTTCAAAACTAGGCCTAGAACAAAGTGAAGCACACTTGGATGCTTAAAAACAAGTTGTATCCCAACATCAGTTATTCTAATAGGATTTATATGTCTATATTTGAGATTTTTCTAATGGTTTTAATGTCTAAAGGCAGAATACCACTTTATCCCCACATCACTACAATTGTTTTAAACCCAGGAGGCCTTGATACTTCCTCTCTACTTTGCCTTGGAGCTCTAGGAGTACGGCAAAGATGTTACTCTTCTTACTACTTATACTTAAGTTCTGTTTAAAGCCACACATTGCTGGGCACTCAGCCATTCAAAGAAAACGTAGCTATTTGCGACACCTTGGGATAAGCTCCAACATTACAGAGTAAAACCAGTGCGATAATTCTGGAGAACAAAGTCCAGCTTACCTCTGCCTTCAAAGAATTATATTACTCCTAAGGACCCATGAGAGGGAGTAGGGGAAGTATTAGCCCTTTTATTTGTCATAAGACATAGAAATATTCAAACCCAGAACTTCACAGATCATCCAGATCCGCACTAACATATCCAAAAGCTGTTTCTGAAGAGTAGAACCAGGTTGTATTGTTAATAGTTGTTAACAGCAGTATTGGCAGTAGCAGTAACTGAAAAACAGCAATCACTTGTGCAGGGTTCAGTTGTGCCCAGTCCAGTCTTCCAGATACTTCACATGTGTCATTAACTTTATAATCCTCACCACCAAATGAGGGGGGTGCTATTACTAGCCACACTATATAGATGATGAAACAGCAGTATTTGTTATAAGGGTAGTCAGTGTTTTTATTTTGAACATAATTGGAAGGCTTTACTAAATCAAGCTACAGCTTGAGTGTTTTAATCACCTCACATGTCTGTGTGTCCTTAAGGGGATGGACAATTTCATCTGTCTGTCTTCAGATTGTGCTAATGATGCTGAGTGTATATTCAAAATGAATATTTGTCATTGGAATGAATAGGAAAGTATGATTAGATGGTTTTATTAAAAATAAAATGTTCAGATATCCATATACTTTTACTTCTCAAAGAATTAACCTAAAAACTTCATTCTTGTGGTAATATTTAATACTTTTGTAGTTTTTCATATTTTATTTAAGTTAATATTATATATACAGCTTTGAAACAAAATTTTAAGGACTTATATTTGAATCCCACATGTATGGTCTGGTATAATTGGCCAGAAGGAAGAGGAAGTTAGCATATGTTGTCATGTGTAAACCTTCCATTGTGGAGATTGGTAGACAGTAAACAGTGCCACCAAGTGGAGGAATTCAGAACTTTCATCACATGGAAATAGTTAAATGGTCTGTTTTCTTTTAAACAGTTTTCCATCCAATTATCTTTGTAACAATAATCAGACTTCTGGAACACCTGTGCCATCTGTTTTATCAAATGTGATTGGTTCTTCTGCCATGGCTTCAGCAACAAGTGGCTTAGTAATCAACTCTCCTTCCAATCTCAATGACCTTAAGGAGTCAAGTGGCAGCAGGAAGGCCAGAGTTCTCTATGATTATGATGCTGCAAACAGTACTGAATTATCACTTCTTGCAGATGAGGTGAGTAATGTGGGTATGGTGGGAAGAAACAAAATCACAAACAGACATGCCTTCTAGTACTATAACAATATGTAAATACCTTATTATTTGAAAAAAAGATCATCATGAATACCTACTGGATTTCAGGTGGTTATGTTAACATTCTATAAAATTTTAATTGCTATTCTTCATAACATAATAGAACATCACAAATATTTAAAATTTATAATTTTTGTCTTAATTATTTGCATGGCAGACAGAGCTCCTATCCATTGGTTTATTTCCCATATTCCCATGACAGACAGAGCTGGTCTAGGCCAAAACCAGGAACCCAGAAATCAATCAGGTCTCACACATGGGTTGCAGGGACCCAACTGCTTGCACGCACCATCACCTGCTGCCAGCAGTGTGTACATCAGTGGGAAGCTGAAATCAAGAGTAGAGCCAGAACTTGAACCCAAGGGCTCCAATATGAGATGCAGATCTCATATTGATCTTTTTTTTTTAAAGATTTATTTACTTATTTGAAGAGTTACACAGAGATACAAGAGGCAGGGAGAAAGAAAGAGGTCTTCCATCCTCTGGTTCACTCCCCATATGGCTGCAACAGCTAGAGCTATGCCGATCCGAAGCCAGGAGCTTCTTCCAGATCTCCCACGTGGGTGCAGGGCCCAATGATTTGGGCCATCTTCTACTGCTTTCCCAGGCCATAGCAGAGAGCTGGATCAGAAGTGGAGCAGCCAGGACTTGAACTGGTGCCCATATGGAGTGCAGGCACTGCTGGTGGCATCTTAACCATTAGACCAAACTCCCATCCTAATAATTAAAATTAAATATTTAAGTAACAAAGATGTATAAATCTGCCTCCCATAATCCTTTGACCTCCAACAAAACTGATAATCATACATAAAGTCCTTTCATAGTAAAATACAACTTAAACCCAACTCTGATTAGTTTTCTCAGTTTTTTTAAGTAGTTAATAACTGGAAATATTTTATTTTGTAGGTGATCACTGTGTTCAGTGTCGTTGGAATGGATTCAGACTGGCTAATGGGAGAAAGAGGAAATCAGAAAGGCAAGGTGCCAATTACCTACTTAGAACTGCTCAATTAAATAGGTGGACTATGGAAAGATTACCCATCATGACACCATATTTATACACAGTTAACTAAATAAAGCAGGTTTAAGTATCCTCCATGTAAATGTCTTAAGAGACTGGAAATAAACTATCAGCCACCAAAAACTGGCATTTCTGCCAATAAAGTTGCATGGTAAAGATTTCATTACAGAATTTATGTTAGAGCTTTCATGCCAAGAATGTTTTCTTACAAAATTCTTTCTACTGAGATTTCACTAACAAGCAACTTCTACTTTTGAGGCCCAACTTAAAGCAGAACTGTTTTATACTGAATTTTTAATTAACAGCAAACTTTTTCTTTTATGTAAAAATAAATTTATTGTGAATTGATATCAGTGACTCATTTATTAGGTATAATTAATAGCCAAAGAATAAAATTAAAATTTATTTTAAACTTTTGATTTAGAAAAGAGCTGTAGGATAAAAACTTCTTTTGTGACAAATGTAATGTTTCTGAATGTTTCTTTCGTAAACTGAAATGTAATTATACCATGTTGACCTTGTTTTCCAACAAAAATCAAATGATTGCAGTACTATGTTTTGATGGGTTTTCTTTTGTTTTTTTGGGGTCTTTTTGAACACTACTGAATGATCTTTTTGATGTAAGAACAACCAGTCCTTGAAAAGCATTACCATGTTTCTCTGACTTCTAAAACATCTGGGAAAAATTTAATTCACTAAGAATGTTTTTAAGATTATTCAGTTGGCACAATTTAATGCATAATCAGAATTGGATCTTTTAACATACAGTAAAAAGGATTTGTCCTAATTGAACAACATAGCTATATAAAAATAGAGATTAGTATAACTACATTCATTATAAATTTATATATACAAACAAAATAAACTGCATTACTCTGAGCTTACTAAAACTTTGAAAATTTATTAACGAATACAGATTATTTTGCTTCAAATCTCTGGTTGTAAAATACGCACTAATTGTTGGTGACACATTTGGAGTCAGAATTGCTATTTAGACAATTACTAAGAATCGGCAATTTCTATAAATCAGCAAGGTGACAAATTGCTTCTGTATTAGCACTTACATTTTTTTGTTGTCGTTCTCATTTGTTCTTTCAACAAACATTTGCTGAGGACCAGGTGTGCACTGACCAGCTGGGGATACTACCCTGAACAAGAGTGCAGTCCTTTCCCCTGCAGGGCTTAAAAGACCACTATGGATACAAAAAGATGAACAAGCCATTGTCCAGGGACACGATCGGGGTTGTACGGAAGAAAGATAGGGACTGGATCTGGGGGTGCTTCACTCAGATCTCACTACTCAAAACAGCCAGGTGTGGCTTAAGTGTGAAGTGAAAATATGTAGTTCATTTATTCAGATCATGTTAATCCTTCTAAATGATTTGTTTTGGTACATTTAAAATATGAATATCTAGATACCATTTTTAAATATCCCTTGTGTTTAGACCTCCTAATAAGAGCTTGGTAGACATGTTAATAACTTAGTACACAGTCCAAAATTTGTTAATAGTTTTTACCCTTTATTTCTGTGGTGCAAGACAAATCCTTGTACAGTTGTATTACTGTACAAGAAACTTTGACTCCTACTATGAATTGCCATACTCTTAACTCCAGAAGTTGCTCAAGCTGGTTTTTTATAGAACCAAGTGAATGAAGCATTTTTTTTTCATCCTCTGTCAGCAAGTTCAACAACTTGAAGTACCATCTGCTGTGTTGGTCCAAGTCCAAATTTAGGCTGTGAAAGATTCTACCAGGAATTTAGGTCAACTTAAACAGCAACTGTAAATTTGGTTTATGAGAAGTAGAGTATTAATGGAAAAGGTTATGGGTCATGGAATGAAATGGACCTGGGTTTGTATCCATTCTTCCTCCCAGTCAGTTCTCTTTGAGCTTCAGTTCAGATGTATAACTGCCATTTCCTTACCAGTAAAATTGGGGTAATAGTTATGCCAGTTTAGAGTTGTAAGATTGTCAAGAAATATCTTTTTAGATGCTTTTTAGGGAAAGGCGTAGCACATAGCAAACAAACTCAAACTACCAGTTTCCACTTGTTAACTGCTGTAGTTTCCTTACCTACACAAATTGTGGACCTTGTTTGTATCTGTGTACCTGAGGTACTTCTTTTCACCTATGCTCTGTATCACTTCTCCCTTTTACCCTCTTTAAAGCAGATATACATCTAGATTTAACCCCACCGCCAGTCAGTGTAGATGTGTTTTCAGAACTACTTGCTTTCTGTGGGTAGATGTTAATTTTTGAAGGCTTCTGTACTTTACTGGGTTAGTATCATGTTAACAGGTTCAAAGACCTTGTACTTTTGCCACAAATCCTGCAGAATATGTAGGCTTATTCTATGTTTGATGCTTTTGTTTTAATTCAGTGGAATTTTGTTCAGTTGACTCATTGAGTTTTTTGTTTAATTTGGGTTTTGGTTCATTTTAAACTCCTAGTTTAGTTTTCACTTTTGTGAAGACCCATAAAGGTTCTTGGGCATGGAAGTAAAAGCCTGGGAATCCTGTTAATTCATGTTGCAGGCCAGAAGTGTTTAAGCCCTGCATACCTGAGCTTAATCTGAAAGCATATTAACATTTAGAAGACACAATATGAATTAAATCATAAACTCGGAAGTAATTAAGGGCCCTCTCATAAACAAAAGAAATGATTGTATTATGTCTACCTTTGTTCTCAAAGTAATCCAGATTAAAAGGTCATGGTGTTAAAATTTTTTATGGTGCTAATCTAAGAAAATCATAATGTAGGAGATGAAGTCCCCAAAATGGGAATGTGCCTCACTTAGGGAATGGAAATAAGGAACCAGAGGCCAGGACCCCAGCTGGATAGAGCTGGTCTTAGAGTCTGTAGTTTCTTTCACTAGAACCAGACGGGGAAGCTGGGCTGAGAAGACATTTTGAGTTAATTTGCAGAGTAGAGGAGATGATGGAGAGGAGGACAGGAAATAACTTATTTACCCAGAGAAGGCCTAACTTCCCCCATACTTTATTGACAGGATTTCTGAAAAATCCCTTCCCTGTGTCCCAGACAACTGAAAATACAAATCTGTTATCTTGGCATAAATGTACTCCCAGCCTGGGTGAGGAGCCAGAATGCGGGGATGGCTTCACAGTGCGGGCTGTGGGCGGCAGCTTCAGCCGTGCTCCAGATGAGTAAATGGCTCTTCCATCGTGGTGAGACTCAGAAGGGGGAGAGGGAGTCCCTGCAACCACGTGTACAATTTCTTCCAGTTATCTTAATTAGAACATCAGCTCGGCAGGGCAGTGATTCTCAAAGTGTGAGGCCCCAGATTGGCAACACTAGTGTTACCTGGAAGTGTGGTGAAAATGCTAATCGACTATTTCCAAGTATTTTTACCTTCACTTGTATTCTTTTGTTTTCCGAGGCCTATGGAACTAATCTTCTGTGTGATAGTTTTTTAAGTATCTTAAGACAAAAACTAGATCTTATGTTTACTGTGTTGTAGCACTAATCATAATTGTAATTATATAGTTATAATTTATTTGTTTAGTATTTATCAATTTAGATAGGCTTCCTGAGATAGAAACTTTAATTATTTGTACCACAGATTCCCAGTTCTTAGCCCAAATCTAGCAAATAGTGTGTACTCAATAAATATTTGTTGAATGAAAGAAAAAATTTAAAATTTTTAAGCCTTTCCCAACATCTACTGAATCAAACTCTGAGGGTTGGGCCTGGCAATCCGTTGTGACAAGCCATTTGAGTGGTTCTGTTACATTCTTAAGTTTGAGAATGGCTGCAGTGTAACAAAGAGAACTTGCCTTTCACCCTCAGACCTGCCATCTGACGTCACTTGAAAAATTCTCCCTGCTTTCTCTAGTCCTTACCAACAAACACCACTCTCTTGAGTGTGGAGGCTATATGCAAGCGGGTATGAAGATAGAAGGCAATGTTTGGTGTCTGTAAGGGAAATCTTGCTTGAATGCCAGTACTTGGTGGTTGTGAAAGGTTTCTAGGAATGGATCCTTTGTCTCCACTCAGCACTGTGCCTTTAACTGGTGACAATTTAACCTCAAAACACCGCTGGGAACTGTTGAAGCAGTATCAGACTAATGTATATGTACTTCCCTGTGCCTGTTAGATAAACTCTGTTTTCATTCCTACTTCAAAGGAGACTAGGTATTTGTTAATGCTTTTTTGTAACACAAAGTCACGGTCCTGTTGGCAAAAAGAACAGAAAATTAAAACCACCTATAATTTTGCCATCCAGAGAGAACCACTGTAATTTAGGAATACAGAATATGGCCTTCCAGACTCTTCTGTGCATTTGTAGATTTTTTTTAAATGGGATCAAATTGTACATGCCATTTGTAACTTTTTCCCACAATACCATGACTATCTTGCTGTATCGAATATATTTCTATATCTTTTTCATGGCTGCATGATATTCCATCATATGTGCCACCTTTTATTAAACTATTGAATTTTTAGGTTTCTGGTTTTTCACTAATAAACTGCTTTAAAGAATATTGTGTTACTAAATCTTTTATATATCCTTATTTCCTTAAGATGAATTCTTTAAGGTGAAATTGCTAGTGGAGAGAGTATGCACTTTTGAAAAGATTTTGTTAGTGCCACCTTGCTCCCTAGAAAACTTTCAGCAGTTTACAGTTTTTTAGCAATATATGAAAGAATAATTTCTTTTTGGAGAGCTCCAACTGAATGTTCTTAGAACCTTTGGCTTCTAAATCAAAGGTAAAAGGATTTTAAATTCTAAAAATTTAAAAGATTGTTCTCTTATGATCTTACTTGTTCTCTTCTGTCTTAACACTTTGTGATATCTTAGGAATGTTTGCAGTACTGGCCGTCTCTTTTGTTCAGCCTCCTGGAAGCATTATCGTGTTTCTGACTTGCTGAGATGTTAGGGGAGCAATCTTGAGTAGACTGGGATATTGGAGAAGCCCTGAGGCAGCCTTACTTACTGTTGATGGTTTGAGGGAGCATGACCATGATAGGGAAAAGAACCTCAAATGATAGGCAGAACTCTGGCTCTCCCACCGCTGCCTGGTGATAATAACTTAATAGGATTTCCTGCTAAGTGTGTTGGAGTAGTTACAGGGTAATTACTGCTGCCAGCCCCTGTGGGGTAAACATCACTGCCATTGTCACCTAAAATATTCTTTGAAAGTTGTCACAATAAATGGACATTGCCTTGTACTTCATGGTATACCTACAAAATCTGGTTCCATGCATTTTTCCAGCCAGATATCCAAATAATTAACCAAATGAGAGACAAGATGTCTAGTGGGAGATGTCAATGTTACCATGAAGTGGTAGTCCTACTGTTTTTAAATGGTGAGGGGGACGTGTATGCCATGCCAAACTTCCCTTTCTAACAAACTGCTCACACTTGGGCCACCTCTGATCTTCATGCCTGGGAGGGCTGGACCCTCTCTGCAAATACCCTGACACAGAAGCTTGGGCTCAATAAAGATAGTGTTAATTAGCTAAGTCCATATAGCATCTCCAAGACTAGAGAACAAGGAACTGATTGACTCATACTAAGGAATTTATTTAGAGAAGTATCTGAATTCTTAAAAGTTGATCAGTGGTATTCTCAAAAAGACAGCTGTAATATTCATAGCAGACTAAGTCCCAGAAGCCAACCCATCTCATTTGGAATGAACCCTGTTAAATTTAAATTAACATCTGGCTTGTTGAAAGGAGTGAGTAGTAAGAGAACTCAAGAGAGTTGTAGTGAGTGATAGGAGGCTTCAGGTTGATGAGAACAAGACAGATGCCTGGACTGGGATGAAACAGATGGACTGTTAGATGAAACTTTTCTGAGAGGCTGATGCACCAGAGTTCAGGGCACATGTTTCTGCCTAGTCCCGTGTGCTAGTGAAGTTGTCTGAAAGTTCTTAAACTGGGGAGTTCCCAAACAACGGTGCATTTTGGTGCCTGCCTGTTGCCTGCCTACTTTTTGTATTTGAGTATACAGCTAGGGCTAGGTCAGGCCAAAGCCAGGAGCCCAGAACTCCGACGTAGGTGGCAGGGACCCGAGTATGGAACCTAACCCTTCTGCCTTCCCGGGGTGTGTACGTTAGGAGAAAGCTGAAGCGGAAACAGAGTAGCCAGGACTCAAAGCAGGCTCTCTAATGGGATGCAGGCATCCCAAGGGGCAACTGAATTGCTGCACCACAATGCCTGACTCTCCATGAACTTTGTTCTATTCAGCTCCACCCTGAAGGCTGTCTATTCATTTGTCAAGAATAAGCTCAAATGCCACTGACATCCAGAAATGGGCAATGTTTAAGACAAATGCACATACCCCTTTATTAAGATAATCTGGACTGCCTCACATGGAATCATTCCTTTTCTCTTCTCTTCTCTTCTCTTCTCTTCTCTTCTCTTCTCTTCTCTTCTCTTCTCTTCTCTTCTCTTCTCTTCTCTTCTCTTCTCTTCTCTTCTCTGTCTCTCTGTGTCTCTCTCTCTCTGTCTCTCTCAGCAAGCATTTATTGTCCTGAATTGCAGTCATTTGCTGACTTAGCTGAGCCCCAGGACAACACTTTGCGTTCCCTTGCATAGCTAAAGCTGAGTTTTAGCTGCTTGCAACATTTTCATTTCTACAAGAGTATTAAATTATTCAGATGTGCAGGTATGTGCATTTGTCTTAAGAAACATTGCCCATTTCTGGATGTCAGCACCAAAAAATTCAGTCCTACTTTTCTTGGAGAGCAGAGTCCAGAATCTGTCATCATTATGACTTCCCATTGACTGTTCAGTTCATTTTACAGTGCTTATCACTGATTTGTACTTTATGAAAACTAATTTGGTTAAAAAAAAAAAAAAGGATTTTGCTAGTTAGATCTATGCTTTAAAGTTAGAACCAGCTCTAGTTTGGATTGGGCTATGCCTACCATAAGCCTTTTTTGTAGATGTTTTCCTTTCTCCTCTCCACCTCTTTTCCACCGTCGTTTTTCCCACTTCCTCTACATATTCCTCTTCCTTTCAAAATGTTAGATGGCAAAGTGTATACCACATGGCAGAGGAAGGTAAATGCACAAGAGAGAGATGGTAGACCAGTTGAATAATGTATTATAAGGTTCTATTCAGGTGCTACTTATGAATGACAAATCTGACCCAGATTTCTAGGAGGCAAGAAGTGTGACCAAACTTCAAATTGCCCCTTCACATGTGGAAATGCAGTTGCTCAGGAGACAACCACACATAAAGGGGGCACTAAGGACGGCATCGAGGACCAAAGCAGAGAAGAAACCAGAGTTCCTGCCCTGATTCAGGAAGCAAATTTTACATGGGTGCTAGGCAAGTTTCATTAAACTGGGCATATAAATAAGCACAAAATGATCACCTTAACACCCTCACACACAGGAACTCTGCCTTCTGCTCTCAGATCATGCAAGTATCCCAGTTGCTTCAAAGCTTTCTGTGGCCTCTTCAGGGAAGCTAGGATTTCATGGGTTGCAAGTTGATCAAGCTGAAGGTCGCTGCTGGCCTCTGATGGGGCATCCTACAGAAGTGGGAATGGAATGCAGTTGCAGTTGATGGAGCTTATTTCGAGGCAGTAGGTTTGGTCATCAGGACTCAAAACTTCCATTCATTACCTGATAGAATTCTTGGCTTCACTGTTAAAACTAACAGGGACCCAGCAACGAGGCACCCAGAGTCACAAGGATGCTACCCAGACAATGTGCTTTCTGGCTGACATCTGACCCCACCCCTTAAACACTCCAGCCCCAGTGCCTGCCCACAGCTGCTTCAGAGAGAGAGAGATGGAAGTCAGAGCGCTGAGGCATGAGCCATTGCCTCCTTCCCTGTTCTCAGTTGCAGTCTCTCAGCACAACTCTGAGCTCAAGAGCTCTTTGAATTTACATACACAAAGCCAGTACTCCCAGGAGAAAACTCACCAGGATGGCTGGTGAAAAATTCTACTCTTAGATACCTTGTAGATCTGGAACCGAGGTTCCCCTTGGTGCCACAGCCCTGGGTGCTGGGGAGCTACTCACCGCTGCAGGCTACTTCTACCTTCATGTCAGGGTCCCTCAGGGATCATGTTAAGCTATGCAACACTGGCTTTGACTAGGACCATCTCAAAATACCCACATTTTGGAGGCTTTTGTTTTGATTTTTTGTTTGAGAGGCAGAGTTAGAGAGGGAGAGCCAGAAAGGTCTTCCCTCTGCTGGTTTGCTCCCCAAATGGTTGCAGTGGCCACAGCTGTGCTGATCCGGAACCAAGAGCTTCTGCCCAGTCTCCCACACAGGTGCAGGGGCCAAGTACTTGGCCATCTTCCACTGCTTTCCCAGGCCATAAGAAGGGAGCTTGATCAGAAGAAAGTACCCAGGATTCGAACCAGTGCCCATATGAGATACCAGAGCCACAGATGGAGCCTTGGCCTACTATGCTACAGCACCAGCCCCCCAAACTATTAATTAAACAGTATGCACCACTATATTAGTAGGCAGTTGGTTGGGTTGTTTCCTTTATTTGTCCGTTTATTTATTTTTAGAAAAGCTGAATGACCCCATGCAAGAAATTCCTTTGAAAATTCTCTCCCTGAACTGACCCTGATCTCAGAGGAAGAGGTCGCACTTTGTGCTTAGACTTTGCAGTGGTTCTAAGGAGTGTCTATGTGAAGGTGACGCTCACAGTCTATACTTATCCCCATCCTACAGATAAGAAAGCAGACTTTAGGGGGCAGCTCAGCCAGAAAATGCTTGTTTTCCCCGCTTCAAAGCCCAGGCTCTCCTTCCTCAGTGTGTCTGTGCTTCCCACCCCTCACCCCCAAGCTGGTTACCCACACTCCTTCTGGGTTAGTAACTTCTCTTGGGCAGGAAAAAAAAAAAAAAGTGTTGCTTTTCACATAAAGTAGCTATAAACTACTTAACCAAGTAAGAACACCTACAAATATCATCAAGCTACATAGGGATCTGCCAGCCTCACTGCCTCCATGACGGAAAACACAGAGGAGTCAGCCTTGCTTCCTTCGGTTGGGCTTCTCGAAGTGCAGTCGCCACTAGCTCTGGCAGCGGGACCCAGCCATTGCATGTTTCAGCAGGCTCTCCAGATAATTCTGGTGCACGTGTTTCAGAAGCACTCGCTTCAGTAAAGCCGAGAGAAACAAACTTTCTGTCTTCCCTCACTTTAAAGCTGACTCACCTGCAAAAACAAAGAATGACACATCCCCAAGTATGCCTCCCAGCTATTAAAATAACTGAAGTGGAATACCATTTTCCTGACTCCATTGGCCACTCACTAATGAGCAATTTAGTAAGCAACTAAAAATGCTCAGAATATGACTTTGCCAGGAAGAGGGGGAAGAAACCAGGGATGGAAGAGTTTATTTCAGCATTCCATAGTAAGGGAATGTGCTCTGTTTGCCTCTTCCCCAGGTAAGAAAGCCAGGTAATGTTGTTCATTCTTTCTAACCAGTGTCGTGCTGTTCTCCCCATGGGCCTGCTGCCCTATTTGAGGACAAGAATGCACCACTTACACGTCGGGGTTGCCCGTTGCCATTCGCCAGATGCCAGTCACTGTGTGGACTGCTTTGCACCCATTCTCAAACTTAAACTTCCGTCCTACAACAGCGCTTCAAGGGCCCTCGCTCTGCACATGAGAAAACTGAAACTTAGCAGCATTAAGTATAAACGGACCTCGCGTCTCTACAGTGGATGTCCTGAGCTGCGTCTCCGTTTCCTTCTGCCTCCTCTGGGTGCTAATGCCGCCCGTTTCTTAACCCTGGGACTGTCAGACGCTGAAGGAGTGTTCCAGGCCTTCCCTCGCAGCCAGTTCTCACTTCTCCGTTAACCCCAGCAGGATGCCCACTCTGGCTAATTTTATGCTCAATGTCTGCAAATGGGAGCCTTTCAACACCCAGACACTGACCTAGGGTGGTGGCTGAGGCTCAAGGCCCCTTGGTGTCTCAGAGACAGGATTGCCCCAGGGAGAAAGAGGGAAGACAGTCATAGTAGCATGAGGAGGCATGATGTAGAAGGATGTGGGAAACCACTCCACAGTGATACTGAGCAACCACCTAAGGTCATAGAGAAATTAAGGAAAGTATAGTCATATCTATAAATGGCTGATGTTTCTGCCTCACTGCCGTACAGCGGGGCTAGCGTGCATATTACTAACTGGATTGAATGAATAGACCTTGTGGGTGTGGCTTGCTGTGTTGGAATAGTAACTTTGTTACGATTGTGGCAACGCAGCACTGCAGCATTTGCTGAGCGTATGACACAGTGCCACTCCTTCAGGGTTGCCACAGGGACCACTGGTTTTATCTGCATGAGGGGCATTAAAAATGATGATGGAGGGGCCAGCATTGGGGCAAAGCAGGGAAGCTGCCACCTACAACGCCAGCACCCTGTATGGGCACCAATGCGTTTCCCAGCTGCTTCATTTCTGATCCAACTCCGTGCTAATGGCCTGAGAAAAGCAGTGGAAGATGGCTCAAGTGCTTGGCCCCCTACGCCCACGTGGGAGACCTAGAAGAAGCTCCTGGCTCCTGCCTTCAGCCTGGCCCGGCCCTGGCTTTTGTAGCCATCTGGGGAGTGAACCAGTGGATAGAAGATCAACCCTCTCTCTCTCTAACTGTGATATTTCAAATAAATAAATAAATCTCTTTTAAACATGTTCATGGAAAATGTGTATTGTGAAAAAACTAAACATGGATTTAATTTTTGCAACACATTAAACATCTTAATTCCATTATTATGAACTTTTTGAAGTACCCTTGTAGTTCCCTAAATTAAAGAATATGTATACACCAATGGTGCCTACATTCTACATTCTAAGACCCGGATCCGGAAAAGGAAGGCTCTCTGGAAAGAAAGGCATCAATGGAGCAGAGATGAAGTAGCGTCTCATCTTGGAGAACAAGCAGGTTATTCGTTCTTTCCTGCACAGTTGCCATGGCTGCTGTCAGCCATGACCTTGTGTGGGAAAATTAGGGCCATGTACGTCCCACCTCCACAGTCTCCAAGGGAACCAATGAGATTGTTTCCCCAAAGTACTTTCTAAGGCCGAAAAAAAATCCCTTTAGTTTGGTAATGGAAAAATATTAGTATTGTCCCAGATACTTGCTCTTAGCAGCCATATAAATATATTAAAAACTCACCACAGTTGAGAAACCATCTTCCATGTGTGGTCACTGGTTAGTTTGACGGCTTCACATCACTGACCTTGGACGTTGGTAATGGACAGAGTGGCGACACAGGGATTCCTTTGCATCTTCCCTGCCGCTTTCCCAGGTTCCTCTCACCCAAAAGTCCTGTCCACAGAGAACTTGCAATTGCAGAGAACAAAGGAAATCATATTATGAGTTAAGCACCTACTACATACCAGGCACTGTGCTAAGAGTGATTTACATGCATCATCTCATAACAGCCTGTGAGGTAAGTACCACCCTTAACTGGCGAAGAACAGAAGGCTCTGAAATCACAGCCCTGGTAGGATGCTAGAGTCTAGACTTGAACCCAGGTCTTCCTCTTTCAAAAGCCAGGCTCTCTGGCGCCGTGGCTCACTTGGCTAACCCTCCGCCTGCGGTGCCGGCACCCTGGATTCTAGTCCTGGTTGGGGCGCCCGATTCTGTCCCAGTTGCTCTTCCAGTCCAGCTCTCTGCTGTGGCCCGGGAAGGCAATGGAGGATGGGCCAGGTGCTTGGGCCCTGCACCCCATGGAAGACCAGGAGAAGCACCTGGCTCCTGGCTTCAGATCGTCAGATAGGCACAGTGTGCTAGGTGCAGTGCGCCAGGCGCAACACACCAGCTTTAGCGGCCATTTGGGTGGTGAACCAATGGAAAGGAAGACCTTTCTCTGTCTGTCTCTCTCACTGTCTAACCCTGCCTGTCAAAAAACAAACAAACAAACAAAAAAAAAAAAAAAAAAAACAGGCTCTCAACATCTACCAAGACGCCTCAGTGAACTGTCATACCACACACCTGACTACTGTGTAGAATGAAGAGGGGTGGACAATTCTCTACAATCAGCATAGAGTGCAGCCACAGACATGTGTAGAGAAAAACAGCCACGCATGGTTTGAGGGTTCCTGCCTGCTGGGGCTATTCCAGGAAAGAGGTTTCCTTTTCTCTGGGTCCTTAAACCCAAGTGGGTGCCCATTACAGTGGAACATCCAATGGGCTGAGAACCCTGGCTATCAGGGCAAGTAGGGGCACCAGCCTCATCCTTCCCTTAGGAAATGAACACTGCTCCTGTTCTGAATCCTGTCTACACAGCTCTCTCAGTAGCTTTCCTACAAGGCCTTTTGAGAGCCAAGGGCTGAAATACAGAGGATGTTCACCAACCAAAAGCCATGCTGAGGCTCCCATATATGGTCAGTGCACCAAATGCTACTTCAGTTCTGATGTGCCTGTGGATTAATGTGCAGCAGAACCCAGAATAGTGTAGAATTGCTGAAGAGCCGAGAATTTCTCAGACTTCTTCAAGACCCTCAAGTCCCAGAGCAATGACAAGCACATAGTAGAAAATAATCATAGTGAGTATAAGCAACATTCTGCAGCTGCTGGTTCCACATTGGCAGATTCAGCCAACTATGCATGGAAAACATTTGAAAAAAAAATCATGTCTGTTCTGAGTATGACACACTTTTTTCCTTGTCTTTATTCCCTAAACCATACAATGTCACAGCTACTTAAAGAATTTCATATTAGGTATTGTAAGTAGCCCAGAGATAATGTCTAAAGCATAGGCTATATGCAAATATTGCATGATTTTATATAAGGGACTCGAGTATTCACAGATTTGCCTGGGGTCCCAACAATGAGGGATGATGTATTTATTAAGCACTCACCATTTGACCTTCACAACAGTTCCAGGCAACATGCACGGTTATCAGTCTCAAGAAACAGAAGCTTGCTGAAGTCACGTGACTTTCCAAGGCCACAGAGGTGATAAGTGATTGAAGCAGAAACGGAGCCCTAGCAGGCTGGATCCAAGGCTGGTGCCCCCTAGCTGCGGCACTGTGGGACCTCAGTGGGTGCGGAGCTGCTGGGAGTCAGGAGTGAGGCTGGCCAGAGGCTCTGCTGCATGGACAGCACCCATAATACACACATGGAAATTGCACAAGCAGGTGGGGAGTGGCTGCCCCGGAGCCCTGGTGGCCCCTTCACAGAGGGGAGACGAGAACCTGTGTGACAGGGCCACCATACAAGCCCGGGTCCAGAAGAGGAGTGCGCAGAGGAAAGAAAGGCATCAGTGGGGCAGAGATGATGGAGCAGCTTGTCCTGGAGAAGGAGCAGGCTTCTCGATCTTTCTCACACAGTTGCCATGGCTGCTCTCAGCCATGACCTTGTGGGGAGAAATTAGGACCGCACATGTCCCACCTCCATCGTCTCCATGGGAACCAAACGAGATCGTTTCTCCAAAGTACTTTGCATGGAGCTGATCAGTCACTCCCTAGATCCCATTGTGGTCGTGACCGCCATCACTCCATCACAGGGCCTTTGACTGACACAAGCCCCAACTTCTGAAAGACAATGAGAAGGTCAGCACGGAGGGAGGCAGGTGTGCCCCCGTCCCTAGACCTGCCACTGAGAGCCATCATGCAGCCTGCTTTGCCCTCAAACCTTTCACCAGCATCACCATCGAGAGGCCTACAAATGGGCCACAGGCCTGCTTCTCTGTGTCCACCTCTGGATGCTCAGGGCTCAGGGCTAGGAAGCTCTGAAAGGCAGGGGGGGACATGGACGGGCAGGAGGAAAGATGGCTGCCGAGCCAAGCGGGCCCAGAGTAACCAGACTGAAAACAGGCCATAATTTACTCTAAAAATGGTCCCTAATGGTGACGGGCGTGGGCGAGCACAGAGCAGGGAAGCAGATGCCCCTTGGAGTTTTTCATCAGAAATCTAATGAGCCATCCTTTATGCTTGCAATGGTGTTTTACGAGCTACACTGCAATTCTTTAAAACGTCTAGGTCCAGAGCCAGCCCTCTCTGCTCTTCCCTCCTGCTGCCAAGAGAATTGTTGCTATCTTCACCACCACTGATGTCATCCTTGATGGGCCAAAAAAAAAAAAAGCCAAGATGGATGCAGCCTAAACATTTGGTTTGTCCATCCTCTGTTATATATTAGCTGAGATGGCTTTTGGAAGACACAACAGAGACATTATACGTAAATCGATAACAATTTTTTCTTTTGTGTTCAAGCCATGAATACTGACTAGCTAATTTTCATGGCAACCCTATAAGATAAGTGAGTTTTATTATCCTGTTCCAATTCAATTCTTCTTCCACATTTTAATCAGCCTCGGCAACTTTAATTTATCTCCATGAAATGATTTTTCCAGCACCCTACATTTTCATCAGATCTTCTTGTCATAGCCGGATACAGCTGGCAAGGCAGTTAAGCGCTGTGGAATGGGGCAGACAGATGAGAATGAAGAATCAAAAAGGCATTGACATGGCCAGTGTGAGTGGTTGGAGGGGGCAGGAGAGGGAGCACAACCAGCTCGAGGTGCTGGAGCAGTTTAGCTGGTGTCTGGGTAACCCACAAAGGCAATGAACAGATCGAAAGTGAGGGCCCAGGCAACAGGCACGCCAGTAGAAGCTATGAGATAAGCAACAGACACACAGCACCCACCACGGTCTCCTCTCCCTCCATCAGAGCAGGGGCCTCCTGTGCCCAGTGGGTGGTGGGCTTGGCCCTAGGAGGTTAGTGGGTGTCTTCTTGTGGCTTATGTTGCTATGACAGCATACCTGAGACTGGGTACGTTAGAAAGGCATTCATTTAGCTCCCAAGTCTGAGGTCCAGGAGCATAGCCCTGGTGTGGGCTTCTGGTGAAGGCCTCATGGCAGGAACATAAGCAAGAGCATGAAGTCGCAAGGCGAGGAAGGAAACAAGACACCAGGGAGGAACCGCTGCCTTCCTTTATAATAACCTGCTCTTTTGGGACTGCTCTGCTTCCCTGAGAACCAATGCACTTTGTGAGACCAGCATCAACCCCTACACAAGGACAGTCCTGATCCAATCATCTCCCATCAGGCCCCACGTCTCAAAGTCACACTACCTTTCGATATCATCCTCTTGAGTTCCAACCTTGAGCACATGAACCTTTTAGGGACAAAGCACATCCAAACCATAACAACAGGTGTGAAAGACAGGGGCTCAGCAGGTGTTTGTAGAGCTGGGCTTGCCCTCTTGGGTTTCTGCCAGTGCCATGAGAAGAACCTCCCAGGTAGCACTAGTTCAAACAGGAGGAGAGACCTGTGCAGCAGACCTGCAGCATGCCCGGGCAAAGACATATTTATCAAGCATATGACACAGCAAGTTCTTTTTGGCTTCAAGGCCTTCATATGGGCTATTTCCTTGGCTTAAAATACTCTTTCCTGTACTCTTCCCAAGCCCAATAATGCCTTCTCATCCAGTCTCAACGTAAATGTCACTTCCTCAGAAACCCCTGCCATGACTCTCTCCAGTAGAAATTATGCCCCTGTGTTAAGTCTATCTAAGCATGCCTGGTCCTTTTTTTTCATTGAACCACACTTTGTTTGTATGTTCGATGTTTGTCTCTGGATTACATTCCCTGAGAGCAATGAGCTTACCTTAGACTTCTTTTACTTCTAACAGAGTCATCAACACATAGTAGGCACTTAGTAAAAAGGTGCACAATGTTTGCAATACACCAAACATTCTCCTGGAGGAAGAGACTATAATGGACACCGTGGTGACACAGAGCCCTTATGTGAAAGAGCTTTGACCACCAGCCACTGCACAGTGGCAGGCTAGTGCTACTTAATTCCTTTCTGCCTATGGTCAGGATTGACCTGGAGGTTGAGGTGAGATGTCTTGCTACCTATTGCTGTGTGATAGATTAAGCCCAATTGTCGTGGCTTCAAAAAACAGTTCTCCATCACCTCTCAAGGCTTCTCTGATCAGGAATTTGAGAAGAATGTGGCTGGGCAGCTCTGGTGCAGTGTCTCTCCCGAGGCTGTGGTCAGGTCATGCCTGAGAAGTTGGGGGATGGCCAGGCGCCTCTCTCTGTTCCGATAGTCAGGGCTGTTTCATGTGGTACCTCTACACGGTGACCTCAGAGTAGGTGGTGCACTTCCATCCCAGCTCAGGACTCTGGTGGAAATTTTATAGTGAGCAGAGCAGAAACTACATAATCTTGTTTTTCAATTGAGGTTAAAACACACACACACACACACACACACCCCACATTTTCCACCTTCACCACGTCTAAGTGTGGACCTCAGTAGTATGCAAATGGCTGTACAACCAATCTCCAGAACTTTCTCACCTTGCAGAAAGAAACTCTATACCACTTAAAGAATTTCCTACTCGCCCTTACCCCAAACCCCTGCAAACCACTATTCTACTTTCTGTTTCTATGAATTCGATTACTTGAGGTTTCTCATGAAAGTGGAACCAGGCTGCACCTCTCTTTCTGAGACTGGCCCACTTCACCCAGCCCAATGCCCCCAACGTTCATTGGTGCTGCAGATGGTGGAAGGATCTCCTTCCTTTGTAAGGCTGAATAACATCATATTATATGCACGTGCCGCATTTTCTTTATCTGCTCATCTGTCGTTGGACGTTTTGGCTGCCTCCACCGCTTGGCTGTTATGAATAATGTTGCCATGAACTTGGCTGTGTTGAGACCCTGCTGCTTGCTGCATCTCCTTTTAAGACTAACCTTAGGTGTCACTAAATGTCACTTTTTCCAAAACCACAAACCCACTGATTCGATATGAGGGAACACAGACACCATATCTCGATGGAAGGAATATCCAAGTCATATTATAAGAAGAGCATGGGGAGTTGAAGATACTGTCACACCTATCTGCACCCTGCCACATGAGACTTTAGCCAGAGGTGGGGGGATGGAGGGAGGTAGTAGTAAAAGAGGGGGCTGGAGCTGTGGAGCAGTGGGTAAATCCACAGCCTGCAGCAGTGGCATCCTGTATGGGCACAGTTCAAGTCCTGGCTGCTCCACTTACAAGCCAGCTCTCTGCTGTGGCCTGGGAAAGCAGTGGAAGATAGCCCAAGTCCTTGGGCCCCTGAACCCATGTGGGAGACCTGGAAGAAGTTCCTGACTCCTGGCTCCTGGCTCCAGATTAGCGAACTGGGGAGTGAACCATCGGATGGAAGACCTCTCTCTCTGCCTCTTCTGAAGTCATGAATGAAGACCCTGCTCGCCACTAGCTTGCATTCTGTAGAAAATAGCGCCCAGCACTTCCTAGCTCTTACCCTGTTTTTCTCTTCTTCATAGCACTTATCTCTCTCACTGCTGGTTTAATTATTTATTTTGTGTCCTTCTCCACTGGAATGCAAGTTGCAAAAGAACAGAACTTTTTTTTTTTTTTTTTTTGCCCTATACCAGAGTTGACCATGGTGCATGACATGTGGTAGGCATTCAATAAAATTTTTACTGAATGAATGACTGGATTAAAGAAAGAAGAAAGTTTGAGTTCTGTGTTTTAAAGTGGAGTCAGATTTGTCTGGTGTAGTCAGACAAATACACAAAGCCAGCCCTGCTCATCAGCATCCCTGTGGCCTTTGAGAAGCTGTTGAAGAAGGGAAGGGGGTGGGCAGCAAAGCGGCTGGTGCTGAAACTCACAGCCAGTGTACTGTGCTCCATGGAAAGGTGGGGTCAAGCGGCGGAATATTGAAAATGGGCTCCTCGGCCCCTGTGCGGTCCACTGCCCTCACTCAGCAGAGGGGACAGCTGGTGCCCTAGGAGGGGAGAGCCCTGCCCAGGAACATCCAAAGCCGAGGCTAAAACTGGACAGCCCAAGCCCTGTGATTCATCCCACTCCTGCACAAATTGTGGAAACGCGTCTCAGGAACTACCTCACCACAGACAAGTCTCAAGCCCACTCCCATTCCCTGGCAGATGCGGCAGGTGGCTTTGTCACCCTGCATCCCAGCCCCTCAGGCCCAGGTGCAGCTGTGACAGAGTCTCACTTCAAGTGTCCCCTGCCTTTGTTCTTCCCCCTCAGAACTTCCTCCTAAACTACAGGAGCCCTCTCAGGCCACACTCAGATTGGGCCAGGAAGAGAGAGTAGTTGAAGCCCCCAGGAGCAGCTGTCCACCAGAGGAGAAGAGGAGGGCCAGCGCTGAGGCGTAGCAGGTAAAGTCACTGCCTACAGTGCTGGCATCCCATATGGGCACTGGTTCTCGTCCCAGCTGCTCCACTTTCGATCCAGCTCTCTGCTATGGCCTGAGAAAGCAGTAGAAGATGGCCCATGTCCTTGGGCCTCTGCACCCATGTGGGAGACCCGGAAGAAGCTCCAGGCTTCTGGCTTCAGATTGGCACAGTTCCAGCTGTTGCAGCCATTTGGGGAGTGAACCAGTGGATGGAAGACCTCTCTCTCTCTCTCTCTCTCTGCCTCTGTAGCTCTGCCTTTCAAATAGATAAACAAATCCTTTTTCAAAAAATTAGAAAGGAGAACAGGATCTGCTAGACAATTGCCCAGCCTTCCAAGCCATGACGGGCAGGTCTAGAAGCTGTCCTTAGGCATCAGCTGCCCCTGCAGAGCCTTTGGAGTCTGAGGCAGTGAACCCCACACTCAGTTGGCTTCCCCTTCTTCACTCACACCTTCCTGTCCCCTCAGCCCTGCTCGCTGGCATCACCTCACACGTCACTACGCTCCTCTGTAATCCCTCAGCACGAGCTCCGCCTCAGAGAAACCCACACGAGGCCTTCAGTCTACTGGTGGTGCAGAAAGGATCTCAATCTGTCTTAGTCGTGCAGAGACAGATCATTAGGAGTAGATGCAGAAGGAAGGGGTTAATGGGACAACGTAAACAGTGCCTCGCTGAATGTCTGATCATGACAGATGCTAACTCAGTGTTACCATCTTTTATCCTTTCTAAGACACATCTTGCCTTGCTTGCACATTCTAACATTTCTTTTTTTTTTTTCTTTTTAAGATTTATTTTATTTATTTGAAAGAGTCACAGAGAGAGATAGAGAAAGAGGGAGAGGTCTTCCATCCAGTGGTTCATTCCCCAGATGGCCACATTAGCTGGAGCTGCGCCAATCTGAAGCCAGGAGCTTCTTCTGGGTCTCCCACATGGGTGTAGGGACCCAAGAACTTGGGCCATCTTCTACTGCTTTCTCAGGCCATAGCAGAGAGCTGGATTGGAAGAGGAGCAGCCGGGACTAGAACTGGCGCCCACATGGGATTCTGGCGCTTCAGGCCAGGGCGTTAACCTGCTGCGCTGCAGCGCCAGCCCTAACATTCTAACATTTCAAAAGATAACATATATTTTAAAATCAATGTTATAGCTAGCTATGAATGGCAACCTTTTTTCTTTCTTAGAAATACATAAATATTTGGGTGTATCTCGCAGCCTTTGACTTTGTAGTTCTCACTCAGGTTCTCCCTATGACATGAGTCAGGGGAAGGAAATGAACGGTCCAGGTACAAAGAGAATATAAGGGACAGAGTTCATCAACAGACCCTAGTCCCAGAAAGCCAGGTGAACCAGAACTCTGGTGCTAGAGAGAAAGAAACAGGGAGATCCTGAGGTCTTCAGGGAAGATGGCCATAAAGGCAGAGACTACTCATCCAGCCCTCGCACCTGGGCAACACGCCGAGGGAGGGGCCGGCAAACGTTGGTGTAGAAAGTGAGAGATCTGTTCTACCTGCCCTGGAATACACACTGGAGGTGGGGCAGGTAAGGCAGAGAGGGGGGCATTTTTGAAAGCTCAAGGCCGAGTCTGGTGCTGTGGCATAGAGAGTAAAGCTGCCACCTGCAGTGCCTGCATTCCATAAGGGCACCAGTTCAAGTCCCAGCTGTTCCATTTCTGATCCAGCTCTCTGCTATGGCCTAGAAAAGCAGTGGAGGATGACCCAAGTGCTTGGGCCCCTGCACCTGCTGGGAGACCTGACTCCTGGCTTCGGATCAGGGCAGCTCTGCTGTTGTGGCTATTTGGGGAGTGAATCAGCAGATAGAAGACCTCTCTCTCTCTCTCTCTCTCTCTCTCTCTCTGTGTCGCTGCCTTTCAAATAAATAAATAAATCTTAAAAAGAAAGAGAGAGAGAGAGAGAGAGGAAGAAAGAAAGCTAGTTAGTTCAAGGTCATCAAAACACCAGTTCAACAAGGAGACTGAGTCAGCCTTCACCATGGCTTCCACACCCGGGAACACACTGGAGGCTGCAGACCCTCCAGGGAAGGTAACTTGCATCCATTTCATCGCCTACTGCTTTTCTTTCCCTGCTGCAGGTCTGAAGGCTCCCCCGCCGGGCTCGGTGCCTCGTATTCCCCTCACTAATCATGACATCCCCTGTCATCCCAGGCAGCCTCTTCCCCTCATAGGTCCATCTGACTCCCATAGCCCTTTGTAACCTGGCCTTTCTCCCCTTTCCCCTCCACTCAAACAGAACCACCCTGTCTCCTGTTTCTATCAGCTCAGCTCCCTCTCCACTGCAGCAGATGGAGGCATGTGGCACTGAGGGCGGACGATGAGTTATCCCTGATAAGGACCATTTATGCCTTAATAAGGCTTTGTATGTCCTGAGCCCACAGGGACAGGCATATGCTCAGCATCCCATCGCAAACCCACAGGGTCGCTGCGGGACATTTTTAGGCTTTTGAGGGAAACACAGAGACATCTGGCAGACCCATGATGAAGTTGTTTGGACATACCTCCTTGAGAAACAAAACCATCAAATCTTTCTTTGGCCTACAAGAGTCATAAATAAAGCAGTGAAACACTAAGCATGCTGTAAACAGAATGTTTCAGAGCTTCTACCTTAAGCCAAAGGAATAGGGAAGGCTAGCACTCAGCCACATAAAAAGCTCTGGGAAGGGAGTCTGAGTGGAAGTCCCCCTCACGGCCCTCAATCATACCACACCGGGCTCAGCGCTGTGGCATAGCAGGTGAAGCCACCACCTGCAACACCAGACTCCTATATGGACACCAGTTCAAGTCCCGGCTGCTCCACTTCTGATCCAACTCCCTGCTTCTGTGCCTGGGAAAGCAGTGGAAGACCGTTCAGGTCCTTGGGCCACTGCACCCATGTGGGGGACCCAGAAGAAGATTCTGGCTCCTGGCTTCACTCTGGTCCAACCAGGCTGTTGCAGCCATTTGGGGAGTGAACCAGTGGATGGGGGATCTCTCTCAATATATATGTATATCTATATATCTGTACCTATCTATATATATAGATATGCATATATAGAGATCTATATTTATATTTATATAGAGAGATATCTATCTACATATATAGATAGAGATACAGATATCTATAGATATCTCCCTCCCTCTCTCTCTCTCTGTAGCTCTGCCTCTGAATAAATAAATCTTTGCTAAAAAATATCATACCACACTGTATAAGTGGGTGTCCCCATTCCAGTGGTCAATTTCCCCAGTCCTATCACCAAATTCCAAGTCTCATTCTGGGTAACATCTGATTCCAGGACCATCTGTCCCTAAAAATGAGTCTGACCATGGGCCGATGGACAAAAAGGCATGTGTTCAGAGACCAGGGACTATGAGGTTCGGTGGTCAGGGTCAGGGGGAGCCTGCCCCTACAGCCCTTCTCTCTGCAGGG